AAAAAAAGGTACTAATTATTTGTCTGAAATAAATTGTTTTCTTCATGTAAGTAAATATTTTGTTTCTTTAAGAAAGCTTCACATTTAATTTAAAAAAATGAATTACTTACTTCAAGTAAATATTTTGTTTCTTTAAGTAAGATTCTACTAAACCTGAGATAAAAAGTCAACTAAATATTTACTTGTATTAAACAAACCATCAGTTTAAAAAGTCAAATAAACCCAAGTTTTCCACTAAATAAATATCTTCTTGTATCATATCGAAATAAATAATTTATTTGTTGAGTCAAGACAGATATAGTAAAATCAAGAGATTACTTTTCTCTGTTTACGGGGTTACAAAAGCAATGTTTGCTATTATTAATTAGGTAAACGGTACCTAGGTACATAGCTATGTTAAAAATATCATTAAAACTAGCCTACTCGACTACGTTCTTTGTTTACTTGGTGATTGTTTTATTTTTTGTTTAAATGTGACTTAACGAGCCCTGTAATTTAATATTATTAACTGACATCGAAAAACATATCTAAAAAGTACCAATATCTAAAAATTCACTTTCATGGTTCAAGTATTAAATAATCATTTTATTAATTGGTAATTAAAACGTTAGGCCACTTTTTTCCCTTTTAGTTTTTTTAGTTTGCTTACCTTATTATTATTCACATTGCATTCATCCTTCATAGACTTTTTGCTAACAGGTGCGTTAATGTCACTTTTATAAAATTAGTTTTATTTGTGTATAAATATTGTTAATAATACTTTAAAGTTGAATTTTTTTGTGCTGCTGTTTTGAGCTAAACTTTTTGTATTTTTGTCTGTTTTATGGACCATTTAACCATGGAGCCTATATGCATTTAACTTTAACAATAATTTGTTGTTGGCCGCAAGAATTAAAAACAATTAAAGAAATTAGTTACTTAGTTACTCTCAGAAACAGTCAAAGATGGTGACTTATCTTAAATTAATCAAACTTTAACTATTTAAGTAGCAAAAAATAACTATTTAAAAGTGAAAACGACTACTTGTTGGTAAACAATGCTGGTACTAATTTAAATAGTACCGTAAACACGGGTGACTTTGGCTCACTTTCAAACTTTTGCTTAAAATTTTTGTGGTTTTAACAATCATAAACATATTATATACCAAAATTTTAGTCTTGAGTTGCATTTTCGTAATAACTAGGTTATAATATTAGATAAAGCTGAGTTTTAAAATAAAAATTAAAAACAGGGTGTGCAAAGTTGCGGGTAACTTTGTCTCACAGAGTATGTTCCGTATAAAATTGGTACAATATTTTATTTATTTTTTTATTTGACACATATTAGCCGAGACATATAGCAATTGCCAGGGATTACTGACGATAAATAAAAAAATGATCCATAATTAACCAAGGAATATTGTGTCTAGAATAGAAATTTTACCGCGTGTAGTTTTAAGGGTTCTGCACCGATGCAATATAAACAATTTTAAAATGTGATAAATCCTATTTATTACTTTAAAACACTATTTTTTCGGTAAAATAAACTTCATAGTATCACCTCATTGAAAGGTTTAGAGAAAAAAATGTTAAATGTTAATTTTATTGAGCGCGAAAAGATTTTTCATAAAAAGATTAAAGTCATCCGCGGGGTGCAAAGTCACCCGTGTTTACGGTAGTTTATTTTAAAAGAGTAGGTAAAACTAAATTAAAATCATACCTATTAATTGTATGGGCGCCCAGTTTTTAATATTTGTGACGCAATCCGAGAAAAATGATTTTTGAAATTATTTATATTTTAAGTTGAGTGGAAAACGATCTTTCGAAAGGTCCAGTTAAAATTTGTTTATTTAAAAATTTTACATTGCTATTAATTTTTGTCGAGCGTTACTACGCCTGCCTCGCGAACTTCAATCGCCTCTCCTGTAAAATATGTTTTTTATGTCCCTTTTATCGGATCGCGTCATATCAAATTTTTTAGTATAGGTACAATTTAGCATGTGATGATTACCTCTTATACTTAATACTTATTGTAATTTATTGACTTTACGATATATAAATATAACCTAATAATCGTAATTTATTTACCTGCCGGTGTCAGTTAAATTTAGTTCCAGAAAATAAATAATAAATTGATTTAAATAATTGCAAGAATAAGCAGCAAAAGATGTTAAACCTACGTCTCTCTATTTAACAAAACTGAATTTTCCAAACAATAACACTTAAAACTCAAGAAACAACGTTGCCAATATTTTGATGTCACAAAGCGCGACAAATAAAAAGATAATAAACACTACATAAAAATGGATGTCACAGGATACGTTGGTTTTATTATCTAAATTATACAAAATAAACATTGCCAACCGTCCAGCGCGCTATCTGGTGGGTAAACGCGTGAAACAATTATACAAGCAAATTTTAAAAGCATGTTTTTTAACATCCGTTTGATTTTTTTCCCACCCTCTCCTATCCTTGTTATAAGTAGATTTAGCATGGAAAACGTTGTGACATCCAATTTTGGATGTTACAACGTCAATGGATGTCGCAGCGCCGGTAGAAATTTTGCACCAGGAAGTCACAACGATATGCGGATAAAACTATTATTATATACATATATATATATATATATTAGACTGGTTCAAAAAAATCGAATAATTTTTTTTCTTTAAAGCCCGCATTAAAATATCTTAGTAGTGAAAAAAGAAGCCTGTGAAAGTTGTAGCTCTTAATATAAACATTTAGAGGTCGCTCATCGTGAATTTCTATTTTACGTTTAAATAACACAGGAATTCTTTTTTCTTAACTTTGAAATTTTATAACTCGTTTTTTAGTGAACATATATTGGAAGGAACTCTATATATTTTTGAAAAAAACGTTCTACAAAAAATGTCTCCTATAATTTTTTCGTAAATTCACTCCTTTAATAGTTATTCAAGGTTGAAATAAGACATATAATAAATGTAACGTTTAAATAACACAGGATTTTTTTTTAACTTTTAATTTTATAACTTTTTTTGAGTGGACATATTGGAATGAGCGATAATTTTTTTTTAAGAAACATAATTTATATAAAATTTTTAAAAAAGATTATACAGGGCGGTCCAGTTTCTGATACATTAATTTGAAGATAGACTTTCATTAATTAACATTTCTCAAAAATGATTTCTAAGAAAAATACAGGCCGTCAAAGATTACAAAAAAACTAGTTTTCTCTTTATAACTTTTAAACCACAACATTAATTTTCATCAGATTTGGCCCAAAATGTAATATAGTCAGTGCCTTAATAATAATGTGGGGGTACTTCTCCCCTTTTCACCTCAGTCTTTGACGCCACTAAAAATTTTAAAAATTTAAATAAATTTGTAGGTCAAGTTTTTAATTTAGAGAAAAAATTTACTCCTGTAAAATTTTGATTTGGGTGTTTGTTTCTGAAATATTTGCTTAATAATGTTTTCGCAGAGACGCTTTCCGTCAAAGTTTACAAAAAAAAACTCGTTTCCCCATCATAACTTCTAAACCACTTAATCAATTTTTATCAAATTTTGTACACAATATAGTCAATGTCTTAGTAATGATGTGGATAATTATTTAAAGAAAACATCAGTGGCGCAGTTACTTGGGGGGCGCCACTGGATTTTTTTTAAATAATAAACACATCTGTTTAATTTTAAAAAAACTGCGGCAAAAGTATTCTTGGATAAATAAATTAATTATTTAAAAATTATTATTATTATTAATTTATAATTAATAATTTAGAGAAAAAAACAACTCATGTAAAATTTTGATTTAGTGCTTCATTTTTTAAATAATTAATTTATTTATCCAAGAATACTTTTGCCGCAGTTTTTTTGGAGTGTGTTCCCAAATATTTCAAAAACGAAGCCCTAAATTAAAATTTTAGCACAGTAGTTTTTTTTATCTCTAAATTGAACAGACAATCTAAAAATGTAATTATGCGAGGAAACATTTTTGAGCAAATATTTTAGAAACGAAGCCCCAAATCAAAATTTTACAAGAGCAAATTTTTTCCCTTAATTAAAAACTTGACTTAAACATTTATTTATTATTTTAAAATTTCCAGTGGCGTCAAAGACTGAGGTGAAAAGGGGAGCAGCCCCCCAAGTAACTGCGGCACTGATGTTTTTTATAATAATTATCTACATCATTATTAAGGCACTGACTATATTACATTGTGTGCCAAATTAATTTTGTGGTTTAAAAGTTATGAAGAGAAAACAATTTTTTTTTTTGAAACTTTGACGGCCTGTATTTCTCTTAGGAAACATTTTTAAGAAATGTTTTTTTTTTATAAAAGTCTACCTTATTTTTGATGCTTTATCACCTATAAAATTAATGTATTACAAACTGGACCATCCTGTACAATAATGAGTGATAAGGTTTATTATTATGCCACCAATTGAAAAAAACGTTTAATTTATTTTATGTCTAATTTCAACCTTGAATAAAAGAAGTGAATTTATAAAAAAAATATAAGAGACATTTTTTGTAGAGCGTTCAATTTTCTTTAAAAATGTGTGTCGCTTATTCCAATATTTTCACTCAAAAACGAGTTATAAATTTCAAATTTCAAAAAGAATTCCTGTGTTATTTAAACGTAAAATAGAAATTCACGGTGAGCGACCTCTAAATATTAATATTAAGAGCTACAATTTTCACAGGCTTCTTTTTTCACTACTAGGAAGATATTTCAATGCGGGCTTTGAAGAAAAAAAAAATATTCGATTTTTTTGAACCAGTCTAATATATATATATGTATATTCTCTAAAAAATTACTGAGTGATTCCATTTAAGATTGGTTGTGTGTATAAACATAGATATATCTATCTATTTCTTTATAGTAGATATATGATTTGAGGTTATAAAAGATATTTTAATTTTTATCTAAACTTTACAAAAAAGTAACAAAAACAATATTTAATTTTTACATAAATGATAGATTAAATGAAAAAAATTATAACCACGAAATTTTTATTTTGGTTTTAGAGATAATTAAACTGTCTATGGACAAAGAGGAATATGTTTTTAAAAAAGGAGGCAATTTAGATATTTACTGTTATGGAACTTTAAGCATTCACTGGAAAGTCCCAAGGAAATCAGTACGTATAAAGCTAAAAATAAAAAAGTCAAATAATTAAAAATTATTGTGATATTTTTTAGGATGGCTACACTGAAATTAACAAAAAAAGTGTACCAGGAAACAACACCTATTCATACATTACTTTACTCGAAATAAGAAATATTTCATACCTCTATGTGGGATCATACATGTGCGTTGGTCTAAGTAAAAATACTTCTATATACTTCTATGTTAAAGGTAACTAATTAAAATTTATTTACACAAATAAAAACTATATAATTTTAGATTTGGATCATTTATCTACATATCATAAAGACATATTGCACGCTAATTCAACGCTAGGTTCACTATACATAGCACCATGCAAGCCGACTTTTCCAGAGGTTCTATTTATACTTTATGAACTTAAAGATGTAAGTATGTAAGAGGGCTGCAATCCCAAAAAAGTTTATATTTTTTTCTATAGAAATTTAAACTGGAAATAAAAAAAAATGTGTGCCAAGACCACACCGATAAAGTAAGACTTTTTACGACGAAAATGTGCGCATTTGTATCAAATGGTTGGATTTATGTGGAGTAGTTACATCTAATACATAGGCGCAGTAGTTTTCTATATACTAGATGTAACTACTCCACATATATCTAACCACTTGTACCTACTGCGCATAGATGTCCGTCATTTAGAATCCGCAATTTTGTTTTTTTAATGGATATCAAATTCTTAATCAGAGACCCCATGAATATCTAAATACTAAATTTTACCCAAGCCATTAAAGCGGAACGACAAATTTTCGTCATATTGGATCAGCTATTTTATTTTTTGAAGAAATGGATATCAAATTTGTAATCAGCCCCTCAAAAACCACATGTTGTTGATAAGTTTATTGAATAAGCATACCGGTTTAAATTAATTTTAAAAATTTACCCAACCCAACCCTTGGTTTATTTCAGATAACAAGAGTGAAACCTAATTACCTCGACCTCGACCTACATCCCCATTATGTAATTGGTGGTTTTTTCAGTAAATATATTGGAGATAGATTCTTAAAATGTGTTTTTAAGTATGAAGATATAAAAGAATCGTTTATGATAATCCTTCACGTATAAAGTAAATATTTTAAAATTTATTTAAATACTCATTTTACAATATCAAGATATGCCTTATCTGCCTTAGCCCTTCGAAAATGCCTTGTTAAATAATATTTAATAATAATATTATGTCAGGTCTTTTATGAGTTATGCTTTGGCCCCTAACGTCACTCAATAAAAAACAAGATAACATCGCTACATTTTAATAAGGCTACATATCGCTACATTTTAATAAGGCTTCGGCTAAAATTGAGCCAAAGTTTTAGCCGAAGCCAACTTCCTTTTGTAAAATTTGGGCATTTACAGAATGTCACGCATATTTGATTTAATTTAGGTAAACCAATAGTAACAATAGTAACTGATGACTTCCACTTAATAAACCAAAATTCGACAGTGACTTGCACGGGGACAGCAAATCCTCCACCAAAAATTGAATGGTTTTACCAAGCTTGCAAATCTTGCGACTTCAAACAGGTATTATTATGTTGTTTAAAAACAATTTGGATTATATTTTTTCGATTTTAGATCAACGAATCCAGCAACTCAAATGACACAAATTACGAGTTTAATTCCACTGTAACAATCAAATCTTCAACACATGGATTATTACAGTGCAAAGCTTCAAATAGTGAAGGGACGGATTTTGAGTTGGTTGAGTATTTAGTTTCAGGTAAGTTGTTTTACTTTATTTATGTTCTTTTATTAAACTTTTTTCAAATTTGATTAGTTGGTCTAAAAGTTAAAAAAGTAATTTCGTATTGTACTTTGATCAGCCGATTAGTTTAATAAAAAAGTAAAAACCTTTCTCTCCATCTAGATGTTAAAAACGGTTTCGACTTCACGGGCTTAGAAGATTTCTATGTATCGCAAAATAACGTTTACCTTGCTATAGACCAAAAAATGTCCTTAATGTGTGGGGCATCTGTATTAGAATTTTATGAACCGGAATGGTATGTCAACAAGACTCTGGTTAAAAAGAGTTTTGGTAAATTTGTTCTGGATACAGCTAGAACCAATTATAGCAGAAAAAGTTTTCTTCTAAAAGAAAAAGCTGAATATACAGATAGTGGATATTATGAGTGCAAGGTTCCAAGAAAGTACAGCCAACATGGAAATATTCACTATGGTTTATCTGTTATGGATAAATCGCCATTACAGGTAGTTCTGAATCAAAAAACAAATGTCAAGTTAAATAGAACACACCCTATTACCTTGACTTGCGATGTCTTTGGTTTGCCAAAACCCAAAGCAGTTTGGCTCAAGGTAAGCGCAATTTTTTGCTGTATATTTTGAATTAATTGCTAATGCTTTTAGGACGGACAAGAGATAAAATCCTCAAAGAAAGTGTATTTTAATGGAGTGCCTTATGTAAGATTAAACATAAACGTTCTTGAAGAAGGTACTTATGAATGCTTAGGAATTTTGAATGGCACCATTTCAAAGCAAATATATGTGGAGTCTGAAAGTAAGATTTAACTGGTTTAAATAAATACAAAATACTAATTTTTGATTTAAGCAACATCATCAAAGTTGTTGTTCAAATGCCTTGGAGTATTTTTAGCACTCTTGGTTTTCGTTCTGGCTATTATTGCTTTAAAAATTTTCAATTTAAAACAGGTAAGCGGCACATAATTTACTTCTCCTAGTTTTGTGATAGATGACAATGGTGAAAAAAGAATTTGTTATAGTTAAATAAGAAATTAATTTTAATTGATTCGGACATTTTTAACATATATACAATTAAAATTAGATGCATATAAGTTGGTTTGAATATTGGGCCAGGGGACTGTATTTAAATTTTGTGAATAAATTAATATTATTTTAATAGTTACAATATTTAATTACATATATAATTTTTCATATTTAAAAATTAAACAATGACAACTGAAACATTTTCCAGAAACTAGAATACGAAATGAAACAAGCAGGTTTAGATAACTTCAAATGCGGCGCCATAAAAAATCTAAACCCGAAACTGGCAATTGACAAACAAGCGGACTTGCTGCCATATGATGACAAATTCGAATTCCCTAAAAAAAAATTGATTATCGGCGAACAGCTCGGTTCAGGGGCATTTGGTGTTGTAATGAAAGCAGTGGCGAGGAATATTTTGAACCACGAAGACATGACTGTTGTGGCTGTAAAAATGGTGAAGAAAGACGCTGATCCGGCGCTAATTAAGGCATTGGCATCCGAGCTTAAGATTATGGTGCACCTTGGAAAGCATTTGAATGTTCTTAACTTGCTGGGAGCTTGTACTCGGAACGTTTTTAAAAGTAAGAAGCATTTGCATTGCTTTGCTTACTTTGCATTTTAGACTCCAAAATTATTAGCGATAAATTTTAGGAGAACTCATGGTCATAGTGGAATTCTGTCCCTACGGAAACCTAAACAACTATATACAAAGACATCGAAACCACTTTGTTAACCAAATTAATCCCACCACGCAATCAGTAGATTTTACAATTGGGGTGGAGGTTCTTGAAAAAGTATATTCAGCTTCAAACAGGTTGGTATATATAATTATAATTTATGAAATTGGAATATTTTAAAAGAAAACTATTTTAGTTCTGCTGTGGAAGATCCTGGTTCCAGTAAAGGTTCAAATAATTATAACGTACATTATACTGCAAGAACTGAAATGTCTTCTTTATCCAACAACTGTGAATGTAAGAATTATTACTTCAAGTTAATCATAATCGTTATAAATATACATGTTTTTTAGTTAATAATGAGTTTTACCTAAGCAACAACTGCTGTATCCAACCTGATTCCGGATCAAACTATAAGGGAGACTACAAAGAAAATGTAAAACCAATTTTCACAAAGAATTTGATATGTTGGGCCTTCCAGGTTTCCAGGGGAATGGAGTATTTGGCTTCCAGAAAGGTTACTTTAAAATGTCTACAATTAAACGTTTATAAATAATATTGTAATTTAAGGTTTTGCATGGAGATTTGGCAGCAAGAAACATTTTGTTGTCTGAGAATAACATAGTAAAAATATGCGACTTTGGTATGGCCAAAAGTATGTATACCAATGTAAACTATCAAAAGAAAGGAGAGGTGATATAAAATCGATAATATTTTGTATACCTACCTACTAATTTGTTTTTAAGGCTTTGCTTCCATTAAAATGGATGGCAATAGAATCTATAAGGGACAGCATTTTCTCAACTCAATCAGATGTTTGGTCTTTTGGTGTAGTTCTGTGGGAATTTTTCTCGCTATCCAGAACCCCGTATCCTGGTATTTCACCTTGTAAAACCCTTTATGATAAATTAGTCAGTGGTTATAGAATGGAAAAACCGGAGTTTGCCCCCAAAGAAATGTAAGAAGTTTAAATAATACAAAATATTTTAATTTTACATTCTTTAATTTTATAGCTATAATATGATGATGGACTGTTGGTTGGAGGAACCACAAAGTCGACCATCGTTCGAAATCCTAACTGAACGTTTGGGTGACCTCTTGGAGGACAAAGTTAGAGGGGTAAGCAATTATTGTAATAACAAGGGTGAACACTAAGTATTTCCTAAATATTAGAATGAAATAGGGGGAATATTTTTATAATTGTTACATTTTCCCATTAGATATCGAGTACACTAAAGTATTTTTATATTTTTGTAGCACTACGTTGATCTCAACGATCCTTACCTGAAAATGAACACCGAATCATTGAAAACTCGAAGCGATTATTTGGCGATGGTAAGTCCACCAGATTTCGGTGTGCTATCCTCTCCAGTTTCAGACGACTGCCCCGATCCCTCCGATTTAGACTCCTTGGAGAAAGTTGGAGACATAACGAGTACTCTGAATAACTACGTCAATATGAATCAAAATTCCTAATTATCCTAATGACAAGTTTTTACAAAGTGAGAATCTTAGGCAGCACCTGAGGTCAACTTAGTAAATCAAAAAACTGCTTGTCCGATTTTGCTTAAACTCTGTAATATAATAAGCTGACAGAATATTTTTTTCATTTATAATTGCTTTATATTTATAACATAAAATACTAAGAAACACTTAACTGCATTATTAATTCTATACATCTACCAAGGTCTGTAACATCTTTAATTAATTTGCCATATAAATTGCTTTTGAAGGCCGTATATGACATGTCCAAGTATGGGATGATTCAACAAAACTGTCACTGTCATCCTCTATAGGCTTTGGATGGACCATAGCAACCTTGCATGTTGCAATGTTTTTTTAAAAAATCCGTATTTTCACATGTTGGATTCTACATTCGTAAAATTCTTCAGGAGGCGACAAATACGCCTCACTGTCATAATATGACAGTGAAATGTATTTGTCGTCCTCTTAAAAAAATTTGCGACATATTAATATATATTTATTTAAAAATATTAAATAAACAATTGAAGCGGAGCGTTTTATCATATTTCGCTAAAGGATAACTGTAATGTGTTAACGTGGTACGCTACCGATCCCCTAGGTGTCACTTGCAGTCCCTTTAAAAGTTTTTAGTTTTTGTGCCTTCTTTGAAAAAACATTTGTAAATTACGCTTCTTAAGCAGTTGACTTCTGTGAGCTTAAACTAAATTAATTATATTTAATTTATATAATACAATTTAACGTGGCCTGAGTCAGGTATGTAACTATTATTTTCCCAAGCTGTATTTGTACTAATTGCGGCTTTAAGCTGTTTAAGTTAATAAACACCACGTGAATTTGTAAAAGTGGTTTGGATTCTCGTACAAAAAACCTTCCTCGAGCCAACCCGAACGGTCCTGTTACACAGTTTGACCTCTGAACCATAAGTTGTATGACAATAATAATAATAATAATAATAATAATAATAAACTTTATTGGAAATCCAAATGGCTAACGGCTTTCGTCTTCCTGCCCTTTGTATGACATTATTTCATAAAAAGTAAAATTTGAAAATTTTGTGGGATAAGTCAGATTATCAGAAAAATATTTTCAAACAAAGCGACCTTATGGAACAGATAGCTTGTTTATTCAGCTTCAATTTCATTTTTTATTCAGCTTGATACGACCAATTGTCGCGGAGATATCCGAGATTAAACAAAAAAGGGCGCTTATGTCTTTAACCGTCAATATCTCTGCAACCAATAATCGTACAGCAAAAAAAAGGACAGTTTTGGAAACTGGAAGAAATTTCCAAGAAAATTTCATGAAAAAGTTCCAGAAAAAAATCTTATCGGTGTACAATACCGGTTGGGAAAAAGTTACAAAAAGTGACTTTTTCCCTTATTTTGGTTAATCGACTGTATCTTAAGGCGTATTCATGCTCACTTAAAATAAGAAATAAGAAATAAGAATAAGAAATAAGAAATAAGGAATAAGAAATAAGAAATAAGATCGCGATTGATCGTTCATGCTGATAACATAAGAAATAAAAAATGTTGTCACACAATTATATTTTATTATAGTGGATTATATAGCGGCTATAAGCGTAAACAATCGACAGCGACACTCAACGCGATTTCCAACACCATGGCTCCATGGCCAGCACATAAATCCCATCAAAATAATTCACAGACCCATTTTGGTCCTTTGCGCAGTTTTATACGCAAGAATAACAACCAAAGTTAAAAATTGTTATTGTTATTCTTATTTCTTATTCCTTATTTTCATGAGCATGAACGCAACCATTACTTTACACAGTTTTAACTTTTTATCTTATTTCTTATTTCTTATTCTTATTTCTTATTTTAGTGAGCATGAATGCGCCTTTAATAAATATCGACTGGGAAGCTAGACATTGCAGGAATTTTTACACCTCAATATACCCCTGAAAACCGTGTAAATTTTCAGATCGATCCATTGAGTAGTTTTTCTGCCCCGAGCATCCACAATTTTGAAAAAATTAAAGGAATAAGATTTTTATCCATTATCGTGGCATAATAATTTTGTGTGTGTGTGTGTGTGTGTGTGTGTGTGTGTGTGTGTGTGTGTGTGTGTGTGTGTGTGTGTGTGTGTGTGTGTGTGTGTGTGTGTGTGGGTGTGTATGGGTGTGTATGTGTGTGGGTGTGGGTGTGTGTGTCGAATATTCGAAATGCAGTTTCTTATCATTTGTTGAGGGATTCGTCGCCAGATTTCATTTAATGCTCCCTCTAATGCAGCTAAGTTCCTCAAATTAGGATAATTTTGACGCAATCGACGGCCCATGATATCTCACACATGCTCGATAGGGTTGAGGTCGGGACTCATCGCTGGATGCCGTAACAACGTTATGTTGTTTCTTTCAAAAAACCGACGGGTGATGTTAGCAGTGTGAGGGCGGGCATTGTCTTTCATAAAAACGAATCTTCTCGGATTTCCCCGGTGTTCAGGCAATACAAAAGGTCGCAAGATCTGATCGATAGAACGCCTAGCATTTAAATTTTCCCGGACAATTACTAATGGAGTTCGTCCAAATCGCGAAACTCCAGCCCAAACCATTGCAGATCCTCCATTATAAGCTGCTACAGGCCGAGTAAAGTTCTGTAAAAAACGCTCTCCTTGACGACGCCAAACTTGAGGTCTTCGATCATTGCCATACAGGCAAAACCGTGATTCATCGGAGAACAAAACATCGTTCCATTGCCTCATGGTCCAAGCAGAATATCGATGAGCGTAAGCCAGGCGAGCTCGGCGATGAGCGGCTGACAACATTGGTACGCGGCTCTTCTAGCTCTCGTTCCAGTCTCACGAAGACGATTACGAACCGTTTGTGGGCAAATGTTTAGCGGCCGCTGTCGTTGCAGTTGTGGTTGTCGGCGGTTCGGAAAGTCCCGAGCGATAACGTTCGCAGGAACAAAAGGTTCTTGACGAACGCGTCGATTGATTGCCCGATCATCGTGAGGAGTCGTCACACGACGCCGACCTTGGCCATCTCGTCGACTGTAACCATCCGTTTCTAGGTTCCGATTGTAAGCACTGCTGATATCTGTTCCCCTCTTGTACCAGAGTCACTAACTGAGCGACTTCTGTCGCAGATAAATGCCGCCTGGGCATAATCAAAAATCAAAAAAAAAAACAAAGTTTTCAAATACCTTCAGTAAATTTCTTTCACCAAAATTGCAATAATTAACAGTAGTTTTGAAAAAAACTGTTAATTGGATTTTTTTAACAAAAAATCGGAGTAGTCTTAAGAAAAACTATTTTTAGGAATACTTATTAGCTTTGCAGATAAAACTCAAGAGGTTTGTGCCTCAATATTCGTTACACGAATATTGCCGGAATCTCGGGGACATCGACTTTTAATTACATAATTTAATAAAATTAAAATAAAGATGATTAAAGTACAGAAGTTACAAACCGTTTGAAAACAAAAACAATATTTTTTATTCAACGGGATAAAGATGACAACAACCAAATAAAAAAAAATTAAATTTTTTTTTCGAAAAAGGATTTTTTTTCTATCAATTTTCGAATTTTTTTGTGTAATTTTTTTCATTTAAATTTACTGATGAGTCGATGCAAAATTGAGAGCAAAACGAAAAAAAATTATTATGCCACGATAATGGATAAAAATCTTATTCCTTTAATTTTTTCAAAATTTTGGATGCTCGGGGCAGAAAAACTACTCAATGGATCGATCTGAAAATTTACAGGGTTTTCAGGGGTATATTGAGGTGTAAAAATTCCTGCAATGTCTAGCTTCCCAGTCGATATTTATTAAGATACAGTCGATTAACCAAAATAAGGGAAAAAGTCACTTTTTTTAACTTTTTTCCAACCGGTATCGTACACCGATAAGATTTTTTTTCTGGAACTTTTTCATGAAATTTTCTTGGAAATTTCTTCCAGTTTCCAAAACTGCCCTTTTTTTGCTGTACGATTATTGGTTGCGGAGATATTGACGGTTAAAGACATAAGCGCCCTTTTTTGTTTAATCTCGGATATCTCCGCGACAATTGGTCGTATCAAGCTGAATAAAAAATGAAATTGAAGCTGAATAAACAAGCTATCTGTTCCATAAGGTCGCTTTGTTTGAAAATATTTTTCCGGATCGTGTCAAAATCGTAATTCTTAAAAAATTTTGACCTCAAGATGTGGAAACTAGAGTCTTTGAGCTTTAAAATGCATTTTTTTTTCTGCGATACGATCATTTTCCGTTGAAATACAGCCCGTCAAAAATCTAAGAAAAATTTGCATTTTTTTTTCATTCCCTTAATTTTTGTGAGTAGTAATAAATATTTATTTTTAACATAAAATAAAATATAAAAAAAAATAAAAAATATTTTCTTATAAAATAATTCTTCATAAAAGAAAAAACCAAATAGTTCTTCATAAAAAAACATTTTTCATTGTATTTAAGTTGGATAGAAGATTTTATGTAAAAGCCGGATAATTTAGATACCTATAGTAAAAGTATTTTTGTTATCGAATATTGTTTTAATTTGACAAATAACTATAAAAAAATATTTTGGGTTGTGTTTTTTACTTAGTATTTAATACTAAGTATAGGTACCTTTATACGTAGATTATGGTATATTTTACTATTATATAGGTACCTAACTAAACTAAATATGCTTAACAGAATGTTCCAGGAATATTCCTAAATGAACCATAGCAATTACTTTCTCAACATTCTAAGCATATGTTTAGAGTAGACTAATTTTATTTAATACTAAGTATAGGTACCTTTATACGTAGATTATGGTATATTTTACTATTATACATGTATAGGTATTATGGTATATTTTACTATTATACATGTATAGGTACCTAACTGAACTGAATATGCTTAACAGAGTGTTTCAGGAATATTCCTAAATGGATTAATTTTTACCACTAAACTTTGCACCTTTTAAGAACCTGCCTATAGGCCAGTGAGAATATTCTTAGGATTATGCTATATTTCTTTTAAGCATGTTCTTTAGAAGAAATATAGCATGATCCTAAGAATATTCTCACTGGAAGGTTTAAAAAACATTCTTAGAATAAACTGTACTATCAGGGATAAAGCCACAACTTGTCAATGTGTATTTAAAAGGTCACTTAGTGTCATGGAAACATGTAGGTGCGATAATTAGCGTTTTAAAGGTGGGAGTAGAAAATAGTATATTATGTATCAAGTTTGATAAACGCCATTTTATACACGAATTCAATTTAGGCACGAGCGAGCCGGGAGCGAGTTCTTAAATTAATGATTGTATAGAAAAGTTTATAAACGAGGTGCATACTATACTTTTTCTACGACAAATATTTATTATTATTTTAAAATGATTTAAATCAAAAATTTGTATAGAGCGCCATCTATGAAACAATAGGGGAATCTGTGTGTCACCTTCAAATGTCAATTTTTTTTATTTTATAAACACAGATTATAAAGGTTATTAATCGAAATGTATTTATTGAAAATTGACAGTTTTTCACAGTGAAAGTAAAGAAAATGTTTTATGAGCACTTTACAGTGGATTCCGTGTCCGAATTTAAGTTATAGTTTACTGCCGGCGAAATTAAAAGGTCAGTACAATGTTCATATAAACTTTTCAAATATTGGCGTTGAGAAACTATTTAATACTTTTGTATTTTTGTATTGAGATAATAAAATAATTTTCACATTTAGTATTATTTTACAAGAAAGGCACTTTATTTTAACGATTGTATGACATTTGACAACTGTCAACTAACTTAAAACTAACTTCATCCTGTGACTAAAAACCTGTTGCTAACTTCAGCCCGTGACTAAAGCGCCATAAAGCCATAACTTGTCAATGTGTATTTAAAAGGTCACTTAGTGTCATGGAAACATGTACGGCGTTTTAAAGGTGGGAGTAGAAAAAATATATTTTAGGATTGAAAATAGTGTTTTCATTCTACAACTTAGTAAAATTAGTATTATCCTTTTTAACTTGATAGAAGCTATAAAAAAAAATTTGCAGGAAGAGCATTAGCCAACTTGGTAGATTTACGGATTAACAATTGTATACAAACTGCTTGACCGTAGACGTGGGAAGTTAAATACAATTTAGATTTTTCTCAGCACTTTTAAAAACGCGCTCTATAGTATATAGTATATGTATACATACCATTATAATAATTAAAAATAAAGGTTTTAATATGTATTTTTTTTTCTTTAGCGGGAGGGAATATTTTGGATAAATTAAGTATTTTAATTAAAACACACGGAAAAAAATCTATACTGATTCCAAGAAAATTCAACTCTATCCAAGTATAGCTTAGTTTCCCTATTCCGCAAGTAAATTTATACTTGTTTCAAGTATCCTCATATTCTTATAAAATAAAGATAGCTTCGGTTTAATCTAAGATTACTGCTATACTAAAAGTAAGAAACACACTAATTTTGAGTTAAGTATACAAATTTGTCTTCAATGAAGACTACGGTATTCTTGTTGTAACGTTAGTATGTACTTCATCAAAGTATAGTTTCTTTGTAAAATCTTTACAGTATTCTTGTTTTAAGAATATACTTTCTTTAAAATTTATTTATTTATACTTATTGTAAGTACACGCTTTACTTGCATAAAATGCTTGTATTCTTACTTTTCCTTTTTTATATTTGATAAAAGTATAGTATATATTTAAAATAACTTTACACTATTCTTAAAGAAAGTGGTTGATTAGAAAAAAAAATTCCCTCGTCTAGCGACTCGGAATAATTTTTACAAAAAAAAAACATTCGTGACCCTGAAAAATATTTGTATTAATTATCCTACCACTACGGAAAATACAAGTGAAAGTGAAAATATAATCGTTATGACAGTAATTTAACAGTATTTTTGGCATATTATTTTAATGTACTAAAGTACTAATAAGTATAATAGGCACTGATATCACAATAGGTTTATTACCTAACAGTCTTAGAGGTATTAGAAAAAGTACTGTCAATTTATATAAATTCATTACCTAGGTATCACATTTTTGGTGCTATATGTAAAGGTAAGGTTTTTAATCACAATAGTTATTATTTTTTTAAGTAGGTATTTTTATTGTCAGTAAAATATATCTCCAGCTAAATAATTTGTAAAATGAGTCTCTAAGAAGGCTACCATCATCATCACCGTAGATGGTTTGGTGTTAATTCTTCAATTTTTTCTCAACACTTGATCCTCAATCCTATTTTGGGAATTAATTCCTTTAAATTCTCCTCGCTTAAGTTTACCATAATATCGAGATCTATCTCGTTTTCTAAAACAAAAATAATATAGCTGAATTGGAGGCTATAGCCTTTCTGCTGTTTATGTGCTATTGTCTATTACCTGTCGTATGCTATCCATTTTACACTACAGTATACCTATCCATTTTACACTACATTTTTACGATCATGCCTAGTTAATTACTTTAAATTAATGAAATATTATTTACTTACCCAAAAATGTGTCTAGTAAACATTCTAAGCCCCAATTTTTAAGTTTCTTCTCCATTATTTTTTATTAAAAAGACCGAAAAAGGAAAAAACGAACTGCCGGCGCCGACACGTACACACGCTACCACCATAGAACACAGGACAGAACTGAACACAGAAACTGCGTCTTTTCTTTTAGCGAAGCGGTCTTAGAGGGTGGACGGTATTTACTTAAGCGAAGAATTAGGTATTTGTTTTAATAATAGCTATACTTAAATACAGTATAGTGTATTCTTTGTTCTAGAGGTCTTATACTTAAATTGAAGTATAAGCGTTCTTGTATTAAATATACATATGTATATTTAAATAAAGTATACCGAAATTTCGTACAAATATACAGAATACTTAAAATAAGTGGCAATATTCCGCTTTGAGTAAAAAACTAGAGCTCTTTCATCTAAGCATTATTGTATATTTGATTTAAGTATACCAATTTTCTTTAAAATAAAATACCTTTAAACTCAATCCAAGAATACTCATCTCAAATCAAGTAACAGTTTTTCTTAAAAATGAAGTATATCCCATTACTTAGTTTAAATGTACGCTAATCTCATATAAATAATAAATATACTTAAATCAAGTTCCTAACATGAAGTATAGAACTATTCTTAAACCTAGTAAGGGATTTTTTTCCGTGCAGTCTAATTAAAAACCAATTAAATACAATTTTAACTTTGACTTTTTACAATTTTGATTTGATTTTCTTTTAAAATGGTTATTATGAGTAAACGACTGTAAACTTATAAAATGTAATCAGCATGAAGCCAGTTGTTTGAAGTTCAATATTTACATGGCGCAGAATTTGAGTATTGGTGTTTCAAAGTTTTTGTAAACTAGACCATAAACTAGACTCCTGTTATTTGGTACAAAGTACATATACTACATACATACATAAGTACATATCATGATATTAACAATAATGATCCCTTTAATTTCAAATTAAAAATTACGTATTTACTTTAATAATAAGGAAAAGTAAATACAACGTTAAAATTTCATTTCTTTTTTTATTTTAAAATGTCATTTCCGCTCGTGGCGTATGTAGTGGTAAAAACATGCTAAAAACCATTGCACAGAGCCAAAATTATAATTTGCATTATCAAAACCATTTCCAGAAAGAGAGAAGGTGATTAATATAATTAGTAATAAGCCTACTGATAATAAAATAAAAACACAAATAAAACTTTATGGTGGTTTTTAATTTTAATTAATTCAACATCATTTCCCAAACACATATGTCAATAGACAACGTTATAGCGTTTTTTAGTTTAGTTTTTTCACTATGCTTTTTAAGTGTGTTGTTTGTTTTGGTGTTGCTATTTCTATAGGTATGTAACAAATGTAAAGACCTCAAATCAGCAAAAAAGATTTATAAAAATCGTAGATTTAAGAAGTATGTATTTATTTTAAAATTTAAAAAAATATATCAAATATTTTTATAAATTGAAGTAGTTTACTAGTATTCATACAACAACACCGGCTGCCTATATCCAATTTCGTTTTTTATTGATTTTCAATATTTCCCTTCATTTCTATACTCTCTAAAAATGAATTAGTCAAAAATGACTAATTTAATTGTTATTAGTAGCTGCTTTTTCACTTGTACCATGGTTAACCAGCCAATTCTTATGTAAAATTGTCCCCTGAAACCGAAAAGTTAAAAATGTAGAACATTTTTTGAGATTTAGTCAATTTAATATGGAATTGACTATATCTCAAAAACTGCTCCACCTTCATAATTTTTTACGGTATTTTCGGATTCAGAGGACAATTTTACATAAGAATTGGCTGTTAAATTTTGGAATCCTATACTTGGACATGTCATTTACAGCTTTTAAAAGCTATCAAATGTAAATTAATATGTTAATTTTGAGGTGTCTTCTTACTTACAGCTTTAAAACTTGAATTTTCGGTCTCCAGAGGCGAGCAGTTAGAATTATAGCAAATGTATCTTATCGAGTCGAATGCAAAGAATACTTTATTTCATTAAAAATTCTTACATTTCCATGTTGGTTTATTTTTGAATGCACGTTTTACATTAAGAAAAACTTACAAATTTATAATAGCCATGAAACTATACATAACTATGCTACAAGGAATAGACAAGATATTTGTCTAAAAAAATTAAGATTAAGTAGAACAAGAAATGGACCAAATTTTTACTGCAGCAATTTCTTCATGTTTTACCTTTAAGTTTTAAAAATATAGATTTCAATCGATTTAAATTTACAAAAGCCTTTTATTCCATTGATGAATTTTTATCAAATAATTTTAGTGATCTAACCTAATTTATTAATTTTTAATTTACTTATTTTATTTTATACAGGTTTCTTGTCTGTTAATATACTTTTAAGCTATCTTTTATTTATTAATTCCTCTTATATACATATTTGTTATATTATATTTGTAATTCACTTATTTTTTTTAAACTCTGTGTGAATTTGTATTTTTTATAGCATAAATAAATTATTATTATTATTATTATTATTATTACTTTTCCCGACACTTTGTTACTTCTTGTGACGTTTAAAACACTTGAAACGTAATACTGTAACCGTCCATCCTGAATTAAATCAATGGCTCTGGCAACATCAATCGGAGACATATTCATATTTAAAAGTAAGAAGACACCTCAAAACTTAAACAATAATTTTCAAAAAACAATTTGATAGCTTTTAAAAGCTGTATATGACATGTCCAAGTATGGGATGATTCAACAAAACTGTCACTGTCATCCTCCATAGCCTATGGATGGACCATGGCAACCTTAGTTCTTTGTACAGAAAAAATATTGGAAATTACAATGTTTAAAAAATTGATATATTCTACAAAAATAAATATATCGAGGTAAACCAAAACCAAAACTGTTAAAAATAGATGTGACTTGATAATTAAAACTTAATTTAGAACAATATACGGTTTAGCCACTCTACAGAGTGTCTTAAACTTATGGTAAAAAATTTATTTCTGTATAAACCTGTATATTATAAACGTACATCTATTTTTTAGTATTTTTTTAAAATGTGAGCGATTCTCCATTAATTTACTACAATATTCTTTAATATACGTTAAATCCGATGTCAAATAAAAAAGTTATTTGCGATTGAAATTTATCGAAAATTTGTGTGGATCGATTATTTTGCCTGTAATTGTATATACGATAAAAATCAGCAGATATTCATAGTAAAAGGGAATAAATATAATATAAATAATATCTAATATTTTACCTAATACTTGTATTGTGACAACGCAATTTATGTTAATTTTTATCATGATAATACATTTATTAGAGAAGTTAAAACTGAACTGTATAGGTACGGTATCAGGTAATATAATAGGTAAAATTATTTTATTTGCATTTTAAATACCGTATACAGTTCAGTTTTTTTTTCGGTATTTCCTTTTGCCAAAAAATTAATCTGTTCCCTGGCTCTTTCAATAGACACACTTTCTGTAAACAACTTTTTTACCCACTATTACACGTAGGCCCAAAACAATTGTTTTAATACTTAAGTATTAACCATTGTAATAATAAAATAGTCTTAATAAACATTACCGGCGTCTCCTTAATTTCGCAGAGAACCGAACAATTCGCATAGCCCTTTCTCTCCTTCGACCTCTCTGTCGAACATTGACCCAAGTTTAGATCCACTCGTCATGACACTTTAAAAACGCATTTTGATGCCTCTTTATTGTTCGTGACAGATTATTAATAATAATAATAATAATAATAAATTTATTAACGGAAAGAAAATCCATGACAAAATATAGAATATGTATAAAAATAATAAATACAACGTGTATACACAGTAAATAAATAAATCACAATTGCAGCTTTAGTTTAAGTTCAGATTTAAATGTTTGTAAAGTAACATTAAAAAATGACAAATTTGAATTGTTGGCAGTTCTAGATATTCTGTCGATAAGCATAAAGTGGCCGTAATTTGTATTATGAGTTGAGAGGTAAAACATAGATTGATTTCTAACAGTTCGTTTAGGAACATGAAAGTTCAGTTTGCTAAGTAATAGGGACAATTTATGTAAGAGTTAATTAATTTAAATAAAAATATAAGTTCATTTTGTAGTCTTCTACATTCAAGCGTTTTAAGGTTTAATTGAATTCTTAACTGAGGGTAAACCAAATTATCTGTAGGTATAGATGTCTTAAAGGCACAATATCTTAAAAATTTATTTTGGACATTTTCCAGTTTATTTATATGTATATGATAATTTGGCGACCATATAATATTAGCATATTCCAGGATACTTCTGACAAAAGACATATAAACTACTTTAATACATTTAACATCACAGAAATCTTTAGTTGATCTTTTAACATATCCCAACATTTTTAATGCCCTATTTTTTGTGACATCAATATGGTAATAAAATGAAATTTTAACATCAAAATATACCCCCAAATCTTTAATGCAATTCACAGACTCTAATTCAACGTAATTCATTAGGTATTACCTAAGATTTTAAACTGCGAAGTAGAATTTACTGCAGTAAATTCTACTTCGCAGTTTACCATTCTTAAATGCAATAAATATTGTCAAATTTAAAAAATATATTACTTATGACCAGTTTAGCGGTAATTTTTGTCGACCATTTTTCATTTTTGCATAACTCTCTTATAGGCGCATATATGCCTTTATAAAGGCAGATGAATTTTTAAAAAGTCGGACCTGGAGGTTCATATTTTCGAATGCACTATGTGGTTCTGGGCAAGTAATTATAAATTTTTACTTACATTTCATTTTTTATTTGAAATTACAAAACTAAGTTAAAAAACGCTATATTTTTGACAAAAAATCCAAAAAAGACATTTTATCTTGTATTTGTAGTCACCTTTATCCGTACTATACATTTTTGACACTAATTTTTACTATTTTATTTACGCAACACCTTTTTTACTCGAAAATACAAGATTCCGAAAGTAAGAGTATTTTTGACAATTCTTTCATGTATTTGTTATGACGCAACGCATCTGCCTTTATGCGCCTATAAGAGAGTTATGCAAAAATGAAAAATGGTCGACAAAAATTACCGCTAAACTGGTCATAAGTAATATATTTTTTAAATTTGACAATATTTATTGCATTTAAGAATGGTAATACAATTTTCTTTACTCCTATTTCATAATATTATTTTTTTAATATACTTTGTATATTATACAGTGTGCCCACGGATCAGATTGACAATAGAATACTTTTTTATTAGGTATGATACACAGACCAACAAACAGGTCTGTGGTATGATACGAAAAAAAACATGTTTTTTAAAAACTATCGCTTGTTTCAAATATAAAATTCCTACACAAACATTTTGAATTAAATGTACAGGGTGCTTAGAAACTAAAAAAACTAGAAATGCGTTTTATGGAAAAATTAATTCTTTTGAAAATATTTTTTGGTTAAAAATTAAGACTTTCTTAAAAAGATGAATTATATATACAGGGTGCTCAGAAATTTAAAAAAAATTATATATCAAAATAAGAGAGAAGTACATACAGGGTGTCCCAAAAGTCAACGATATCCTTCGGAGGATTGATGGACTAATTCATGACCAACCAGAAAATCAAAACATGACCTTAGTAAAAAATCGTTAGTTTTTGAGATATAGTCATTTTTATGAATTTTGTAAAACTTGACACCTTATATCAGTTTTTCGAGTGCCACAGCTATAAAATTCCATATTCTTAGATTATATTTTATGTTGTGCAATCCTAAAAATGCCTGCTATTGATTACAGTTCAAAATAAAACTAATAGCAGTTTTTTATCTTTTGAAAACAAACATTTTTGCCCGAAGTTTTTTTATTAGCTAACTTCAACCGTTCAGACTGTAAAAAAATATGTCACGCAAACTTGGCAAGTATTTTAAAAATTGCTAATTTAGTGTAATATGCCATGTTATACTTTAAAGAAAAAGATATTGTTGTTTTACTACAAAACGAGTTTATTGTTAAATTATTTCAATATTTAGGAATTTAAAAAAAAACACTTCTTTAATGAAAATAACAGATATTTAATTAAAAACAAACGAATCACAAATAAAAATTAAAGAATGTGTTCAAAATGCCTGCCACCAAGTCGAATGCAAGCGCGGCATCTTTCTAAAAATGATCGTTTTATCTGTCTTGCACTTTCTGCGTCTTTTATTTGTTGTGCGGCTTCATTAATTTGGTCTCTCAATTAATGTACGTTATGAATTTCTATTCCATAGACTTTTTACTTTATGCAACCCCAGTAAAAAAAATCGAGAGGATTTAAATCCGGAGCCGGGGAGGCCACAAAATGGGACCAAGACGGCCGATCCATCTCTCTGGATAAACCTGATCCAAATAATTTCTTACTTCCCGTGCGTAATGAGCTGGACAACCATCATGTTGAAGCCACATTGCCCTGCGTGTGGCGACAGGCACATCATCCAAAAGATTTGTCAGTTCGTTTTCCAAAAACTCTTGATAATTTTCCCCATTTAAATTTTCAGGTAATTCAAAGGGACCGAATAGTTGGCCGTTCAAGATGCCGGTCCACAAATTCACTTTAAAGCGATACTGTGACCTTTCTTCTCGAATTAAATGTGGATTTTCAAGTGCATAATAATGAAGATTATGCATGTTCATAAAACCATTTTTATGGAATGTGCATTCATCAGTCCATAAAATTGTATCCAGGAACTCTGGGTCTTCCCTATGTTACTGCAACATTCTGCGGCAAAATTGGACACGTCTTGCGTAGTCACGAGGAAGCAACATTTGCACACGCTGTACGTGATATGGGTGATACTGATACCGTCGTGTAATTCTGTTTGCAGTGGATTTCGGTATTCCTGTACGCCTTTCAATTGCTCGCGCCGAAGTAGTTGAGTGATTTTCAATTTCTTGCAAAACCTCTTCATCATAATCCATACATGGTCTTCCCATTCTAGCACGATTGTGAGGCATTCTGCCTTCAGCGTATGCTTGGTGAACATTTATAAAGACGGGATAATCAGGATATCTCAAAGCATTCGGGTATCTTTCCCGATACAGGTTGGCTGAAGCTACACCATTACCTCTGAATTCACCATAAATGTAATGCATGTTTGCATATTCCTAAGCAGTATACTGGTACGGCATAATGAGTAGTCAAACGTCAAACACGGAACACAAACACACAATTGAAGGTTCAAGTGGATAAAGGAGTTTTGATAATAAAGAACAAAAAATATTGTAATTGTTATTAAAATTAAATTTTGTGTTGAAATTACAATAGTTTTTGTTTAAAGGTGTCATCTTACATTTAAGTTAAGAAAGAACAAACAATATTGTGGTTGTAAATAAAAATAAATTTGGTATTGCAATTACAATATTTTCTTGGATGATGTGCCTGTCGCCACAGGCCGGACAATGTGGCTTCAACATGATTGTTGTCCAGCTCATTACGCACGGGAAGTAAGAAATTATTTGGATCAGGTTTATCCAGAGAGATGGATCGGCCGTCTTGGTCCCATTTTGTGGCCTCCCCGGTCTCCGGATTTAAATCCTCTCGATTTTTTTTACTGGGGTTGCATAAAGTAAAAAGTCTATGGAATAGTAATTCATAACGTACATTAATTGAGAGACCAAATTAATGAAGCCGCACAACAAATAAAAGACGCAGAAAGTGCAAGACAGATAAAACGATCATTTTTAGAAAGATGCCGCGCTTGCATTCGACTTGGTGGCAGGCATTTTGAACACATTCTTTAATTTTTATTTGTGATTCGTTTGTTTTTAATTAAATATCTGTTATTTTCATTAAAGAAGTGTTTTTGTTTAAATTCCTAAATATTGAAATAATTTAACAATAAACTCGTTTTGTAGTAAAACAACAATATCTTTTTCTTTAAAGTATAACATGGCATATTACACTAAATTAGCAATTTTTAAAATACTTGCCAAGTTTGCGTGACATATTTTTTTACAGTCTGAACGGTTGAAGTTAGCTAATAAAAAAACTTCGGGCAAAAATGTTTGTTTTCAAAAGATAAAAAACTGCTATTAGTTTTATTTTGAACTGTAATCAATAGCAGGCATTTTTAGGATTGCACAACATAAAATATAATATAAGAATATGGAATTTTGTAGCTGTGGCACTCGAAAAACTGATATAAGGTGTCAAGTTTTACAAAATTCATAAAAATGACTATATCTCAAAAACTAACGATTTTTTACTAAGGTCATGTTTTGATTTTCTGGTTGGTCATGAGTTGGTCCATCATTCCTCCAAAGGATATCGTTGACTTTTGGGACACCCTGTATGTAGTAAAATATCCGTAACGGAATCGCAAAAAATCATTCTTCATAAAAACTTCTGCTTGTTTTTAAAAATGAGATTCCTAACAAACATTTATAATTAAATGTCCAGGGTGCCCAGAAAATAAAAAAACAGCAAAGTGCTTTAAGAGTAGTACAATTGTTCTATAGAAATCTCATTTTTAAAACAAGCAAGAGTATTTAACGCATAATAAAAATAATAAGTTTTCCTATTATGATTAAAAATAAATATGGTGAATTGTAAAATGTTGATATAATAATATATTTTTGATACTTTAAAGGTAATGGTTTTTTGATTATTCATGATAAAAAATTTTGCTTGGGCCATGTTGTGTTTAATAAATAAATTATTAAATTTAAAACATAAAAAAAACAAAAAATACACAAATATTAAAAAAATTCATTTGGCCCTTCCTCAATACCAAATATTTAAAAAAAAAAATTATATCAGAAGTAAATTTGTCACCCTTAAAAACATAAAAAACACACGTCGCTAATATTCATGAGGATGTGGTCATGCATAATAAAATGATTTTTAAAAATAAATAAAAAGAATCTGACATCTTTCAGATGGTTAATCTTACTTTCTATAGTTTCCATGGTACTTACACAAATTTTAAATATTATTATATTCGCATCTCCCAACTTAAAACCCGATTGGTTAAAATCAGTGAATATTGAAATTGGCCTAACAATGCTATTGATAATTTGAAAATATTATACCGACGAGATTTTTAATTTAGTTTTAGGAAAAATTGAACTGTCTATGGACGAAAGTGAATATGTTTTTGAAAAAGGAGGCAATTTAGATATTTACTGTTATGGAACTGAAAGCATTCACTGGAAAGTCCCAAGGAATTCAGTGCGTATAAAGTTAAAAATAAAAAATAAAGATAAAAAAGTCAAATAATTAACAATTATTGTAATATTTTAAGGATAACTACACTGAAATTAATAAAAAAAGTCTACCAGGAAACAACACCTTTTCTTATATTAATTTACTCGAAATAAGGAATATTTCATACCTCTATGTGGGATCATACATGTGCGTTGGTCAAAGTGAAAACACTTCTATATATTTCTATGTTAAAGGTAACTTATTTTTATATACAGGGTGTTATGTAATTAATGTTATATATTAAAATGGGTTATTATTATGGTTCATAAAGAAGCACCTAAAACTTTTTCTTTCTAAATTCCAAAGACTAAAAATAATTTATAATAACCTTTATCCTACCAAAAAGTACGCCACTGCTCGACTAGGAACTTTAGGCTAATCTGGTTGCTTAATTTAATTTATTATGTTATGGTTGGTAACAACAGCGTTTCCAAATTCTGTCAAAAAAGTTGCCAAGCATTGTTTAAATTTAGCTTAATTACAAAAATGACAAAATTAACAATGCAAATTGTCAATTTGGCGTTTTTATTAATTGTTGCTTATGTCATTTTTGTACTGAAGGTAAATTCAAACAAAATCTGACAACTTTTATGACAGAATCTAGTGCATTTTTTTCAAATTTTAGGTTATGTGCTCAAATTGTAAATATCTTAACTAAGGGAAGTGCTTTTGGATTTATTTACACAAATTAAATGTTTAAAGTTTAACCTGTGAACTGGTCCCAATTTCATCTGGGTAAACAAAGAAAAAAACCGAGGAAAAATTAATTTTGTAGTGGATGGATTGATTTTTTAAATTAACATTTACTAAATGATATATCATTGCTTAAGCTAATAGCTGGATGAGTAAATAAATACAGAAGGGTATTAGAGCTTTAAGGGCATAAAACTTTTGTATTTATTGAGTTTTTATTTATTTTTTGCAAGAAAAATGTTTAGTAACAATTTTTTACATCTGGTACTGCGCAGCTACTTTGTTGGTTGGTATCTATGTACTCACACAACACAAGTGTGCAGAGATAAACCATGTGTTTAACCAGTGGCATATCCCTAGGTCTAGGGGCATATCACAAAAAATATAAAAAAAACTTCTAATGCATATTTTTTCTTTACTCCTTATGTCAAAAGGTATTCAGTATTTTAATATATAACATTAGTTACATAACACCCTATATTTACATAAATAACAACAATATTATTTTAGATTTGAAACATTTATCTACATATGCTGAACTCGTGGGGAATGTTTTTGAAAGGCGAGGTTCGGATTATATTTTACCATGCAAACCTACTTTTCCGGAGGTTGAAGTTAAAATTTTTGACAACGACATACAAGAATATGTAAGTATGTAAGAGGGCTGTCTAAAAAGATAATGACTATAATATATGACTATATATTATATCATCGAGATTTTACCTTAAGTTTTTGACAAAGTCGCTTATAGTGATGGGTGTGATTTCATCAATCATCTTTTTGGTTACAAAGTCAAAACAAACAACCATATTTTTTATTATATACACTTGTCCTTCATATTAATAACAAATAATAGATTTTTAGCCGATTGTGACTAAGAATTTATCGATGCTTTTATAAATCCATTTTGTATTTGGATTGATGATCATTTATCTCTTATAATTGCTTTAAAACCTCTATTTTATTTAAGATAACATTTGGAGAACTTGATGACAACGATTTTTTATACACATTTCATCCCCAACATGGAGTTATCAGGACTTCCGAAGAATTTGTTGAAGAAGTATCGATAGATTGTAATTTTAAGTATAGAAATATAACCCAACACGTTACGGTAAAAAATAACGCAAAAGGTAAATATTTAAAAAAAAATTTAAAATATAAACTTACATGCATGTTTCAACTAAAAACACTTTATTTTACTTGTAAGAAGCCATTAACTATAAGGTCCGTAAAAAGACGTAATTTCTTTTGATATTAAAGATAGTATAATATCAAGAGATAATGCAGGCTATTATTTACAAGGATGTGGTTTTGCGTTTCGAGTTGCCAGGTGAGAGACGCAAATCATTTGAGTTTATCGATTAAGGTATCTAGTCCAATTAGTTAATAATTAAATGACTTTTAAAAATAAATAAATAAAATCTGTCATCTGTCAGATATTTAAACTCACTTTCTATGGTTTCTATGGTATGCCAATTTTATATATAATTAAAGTGGCATCCTAATTTAAAACCCGATTGGTTTAAATCAGTAAATATTTAAATCGGCCAATCACGGATGCCTTATAACGTTTGGGTTATAATGGCTATCACTATGTGCGGAAATACCCCAATATTATGCAATAGGAGTAGAAAAAAACATTTAAACATATTTCCCAAAATCCTTACTTATTTATCAAGGTACAGGTTGTCGAAAATTATTGTTTAATTTAATTTTTGCAATAATCTTTTTATATTAATTTGAAAATATTATACCGACTGTTTGTTTTACAAATAATAATTATAACCATATTATTGATTTCTTATTCAGGATAATATTATTTCACTGGGTTTTAAATAATTATTTTAACTTTTTTATACATTATGGCCCATTAACTATTAATATATATATATATATATATATATATATATTGGTGTTTGGTAAGCAGTGACTTCCGATAGGTTGACGTGGCGCCCTGACCTCCGGTGTTACCAGTTATTTTAAACGTATATATTAGGGTGCGTTTGAAAGAGGGGAAGGTCTACAATTCGGTTGTCAAAAGAGGGGAAGCATTTTGTAAAGAATTAAAATGTATATATTTGGAAGCAACTAATATACGAAATCACTTCCGCATATATATGAAAGAGTTACGGTCACGTCGTACTAACTTCCAGCAGTGTTGCCAGATATCAGAAGTTAGATTTACAACTATATTTTGTTAACTTGCGTAAAGAAATCAATAATTTAAATTAAAACCTAATACCTATTTAGGGAAAAACGTACAAAAAAGTATTTTTATTATAAAAATAACTAGTTTTCTTACTTACGTAAAGAAAATTATTTTATTACAAATTATCAAGTGTTCATTAATATTGACAGATACGTATTTTTTGAAGTTAAAAACATTTTCCCTTTCTGATCAAAGGGGTTATTAATATTCTAGGTCAGGGATGGCGAACATATGGCACGCGTGCCATGAGTGGCACGTTTTAATTTTTTCTTGGCACGTTTTAAGAACAAAATTTGTTCATCTTAAGCTAATTTTTAAGTTTAATAATTTGCGTATTTTATTCCAATTAAAACATAACTTATAACTAAACTCCGTAAAATTTAATGTCTGTGTTAGCCTTGTAATCATAAGCGACAAATTTTTCAATTTTTAATGAATATCGCTAGAATTTTATCTAGGTGTTAAATAATTAATTATTAATTAAATTAAAGTTTAAATATCGCTCAGATTAAATCTCGCTGCCGTCTCAACTGTTCGCATCACCGATTGATTCAAACTGGTTTGACCGAATTTAACTCGCTCAGGGATCGAAACTAAAAATGAGTTTAAATACTACTCCTAGTCCCTAAATTTTAAACGCCTTAAAATAATTTCGATCTGCTCATATTCTCCGATGTATAGAAAGTTTTGATACTTTAGTGATTAAATCATACCAGATCATATTGGGATTAAATCCCAACGAGATCGGTAAGGATTTAATCTTTTTAAGAGTTTTAACTACTATTAAAAATAGTTTTACTTTTTTAATTAGACTAATTATTAGAGAACATTAATTTAAACATTTAAAGTAAAAAAAAATTAACAAAGAAATTTTAAAATTAACAATATAACATTCTTTACTCAATGAATATAAGATAATTTTTTTACTAAAAAGTTTTTAATAATGGGTAATTATTAATTACTAAGACATTTTTATAGATTTTTCGATATTTTTATATTGTTAATTAATAAACATGGCAATATGGGTATCTATAAAAAGGTCTTGATAATTGCAATTAAAAAAATTATATTATTTACCCCCTCTCTTTCCCCCAGTTTAATAAGTTTCTATATTTCAAAATTTACTTGTCAAGATGGGTATCTATAAAAAGGTCTTAAAATTTTCAATTTAAAAAATATATAATAATAACCCCCTGCCTTATTTTAAAAAAAATTATATTGCAAAATTAATCTGATAACATTGGTAATTACAAAAATTTCTTAATAATAACAATTTAAAAAATATTATTAATTACCTACCCCCTTCCTCCCCCTAATTTATAAAATTTGTATGTTGCAAAATTAACATTTCAAGATGGGTGTCTATAAAAAGGTGTTGATAATTGCAATTAAAAAAATTATTATTATTATTTACCCCCTCCCTAGCCCCCAGTTTATTAAGTTTCCATATTTTAAAATTAATATGTCAAGATAGGTATCTATAAAAAGATCTTGATAATTGCAATTAAAAAAATATATTAATTACCCCCTTCCTCCCCCTAATTTTAATAAATTTTATATTTAAAAATTAACATAACAAGATGGGTATCTATAAAAAGGTCTTGATAATTAAAAAAATTATATTATTTACCCCCTCTCTTACCCCCAGTTTATTAGGATTCTATATTTCAAAATTAACATGTCAAGATGAATATCTATAAAAAGGTCTCAAAATTTTCAATAAAAAAAAAATAACCCCCTGCCTTCCCCCCTATTAAAAAAATGTATATTGCAAAATTAACCTGGCCACATTGGTAATTAAAAAAAGGTCTTAATAATTACAATTTAAAAAATATTATTAATTACCCCCTCCCGCCCCGTTGTTTTTAAAAATTTTGTATTTCAAAATTATCATGGCAAGATGGGTATCTATAAAAAGGTGTTGATAATTGCAATAAAAAAAATATTTTATTTACCCCTCCCTTCCCCCCAGTTTATTAAGTTTCTATATTTTAAAATTAACATCTATAAAAAGGTCTTGATAATTGCAATTAAAAAAATATATTAATTACCCCCTCCCTCCACCTAATTTTAATAAATTTTACATTTAAAAATTAACATGGCTGATGGGTATCTATTAAAAGGTCTTGATAATTGCAATTAAAAAAAAATATGTATATAAATTAACCTGACAAAATTGGTAATTAAAAAAGGTCTTAATAATTATAATTTTAAAAATATAATTAATTACCCCCTCCCCCCTAATTTTTAAATTTTTAATATTACAAAATTAACATGGCAATATGGTTATCAATAAGAGGTGTAAATATTAACAATTTAAAAAATTATAATTATTACCCCCTCCCTGCCCCCAATTAAAAAAAAATCAATTGCAAAATTAAAAATTTGCTCATAGCAATATGGGTACCTTAAGAGGTCTTAATATTTACAATTTATAAAATTATAATATTCACCCCCTCCCTGCAAAATATATTGCAAAATTAACCTGACATCATTGGTAATTATTTAAAAGGTCTTAATAATTACAATTTAAAAAATATTATTAATTAGCCCCTCCTTCTCCACTAATTCTTAATTCTTTTATATTGAAAAATTAACATATAATAGCAATATGGATTTCTATAAAGAGGTCCTAATATTTATATTTTAAAAAATTATATAAATTTCCCTTTTCTATTGCTTGCAATATTAACATGGCAAAATCTGTACAATGTTCTTAATGATAATAATTTTAAACTACTCCCTTCTTCACCCCTAATTAATTCATTTTTTTATTAAATAACATTCAAAATAAACCTGGAGCAGGTATAGGAAACAAAAAAAGCCAAATGTACGTTTGGACATATCCTCACGTTCAAATTTTTCTATAAAATAATGTTTAGTAGAAAAAATAAAGGTATATAAATAATTATTAAAGGGTCCAATTACTCCAGTGCATTGCATTAAATAACCCGATAGGCGAATATTTTAATAAATAAGGGGGAAGGAGGGGGTAATTAATACAATTTTTTAAATTGTAATTATTAAGACCATTTTATTGATACTCATCATGCCATGTTAATTTTGCAATTTTAAAATGTAATAAATTAGGGGGCAGAAGGGGGGTAATTAATTTATTTTTTAAAATTGTAATTATTAAGACCTTTTTATAGATACCCATCATGCCATATTAACTTTGCAATTTAATAATGTAATAAATTAGGGGGCAGAAGGGGGTAATTAATATAATTTTTTAAATTGTAATTAATAACACCTTTTTATAGATACCCTTCATGCCATGTTAATTTTGCAATTTAATAATGTAATAAATTAGGGGGCAGAAGGGGGGTAATTAATATAATTTTTTAAATTGTTATTTTTAAGACCTTTTTATAGATACCCATCATGCCGTGTTAACATTGGAATATACAAATGTAATAAATTAGGGGGCCGAAGGGGGGGGAGTTATTATAAATTTTTTAATTGTAATTTTTAATACCATTTCATAGATACCCATCTTAAACGTTAATTCTTCAGAATAAAAGTTTAATAAATAAGGGGGGAAGGAGGGGGTAATTAATATAATTTTTTAAATTGTAATTATTAAGACCTTTTTATAGATACTCATCATGCTATGTAAAAATGTAATAAATTAGGGGACAGAAGGGGGGGTTATTATTATATTTTTTTAAATTGTAATTACACCATTTCAGAGATACACATCTTGCCACGTTAATTCTTTAGAAAAAAAGTTTAATAAATTATCGGGGAAGAAGGGGGTAATTAATATAATTTTTTAAATTGTAATTATTAAGACCTTTTTATAGATACCCATCTTGCTAGGTTTATTTGCAATAATAACATTAATAAATAGGGTGGCAATTATTTTGTTTTTAAATTGTTATTATTAAATCATTTTAATGATACCCATCTACTAATGTTATTTTTGTAATGATTATTACCATAATATTATTATAGTTTAATCATAGAGAAATGTAATGTATAATCTAACATTATTAATGTTATTATAAATACCACTTTTTTATAAAATTTGCTAAATAAATATATACCATATATCAATAAAATAATTTTAAAAATTAACAATAATATTAAGGTATGTTTATAAAATTATAAAATTAATATAATTTTACAATTTATTAATTTAATAGGACTAAAAATTTATATTTATTTAATAAATATAAATTTTTAGCCCTATTAAATAACCAGTATTAATAAATTACCAGTATTAAATTAATTATATCATCTGATAATTTCACTCTGATTTAATCACTGGGTTCCGAAAAGTATTAAATCTTAAATGAGCAATAATATAAATACTCTGAAATGATTAAATCTCAAATGTAGCTAAACTATGGTTATCATTTAGAATATAAATCTTTTAGGTATTTAATCTTTAAAAGAGTAGAAGTGTTTTGATACTTTTGGGATTGAATCCTTAATGTATCGAATCACTACGAGAGCGGTATAATTTAACTCATCTGGAGAGTAATACTTCGCAGATCGAAATAGGTTTCGATCGCGAGTGAGTTGAGAGCTATTCAAAATCAGTGATTTAATCCTAGTCCCTGGAATAAAGGAAAAATGCAGTGATTCAAAGCCAAAGGCGGCAGATCTTAAATGTCTCGCAGCGTCTCAGCGCTATGAGATATTAATATCACTCTATAGATATATATATATAGATAGTATACTAATTAAAGGAATGAGAATAAAGATTTGGCAACGCCGACTTAACAAGAGAGAGTTAGGTATAGCGTGAACTGCAGGCACAACAAAGATAGTTATATTGTCATGCCCACGCGGAAGTCAAATCGTACAGTTTGTTAAATATTTGTAGCGACAACAGCGCCAGCGGTATATACCCGAACTAAAGGAAAGTTTTGTAGGTATATATGGCACGCACTGACTTCCAACCTAAAATTTGAAATAACGCTTTTTTCGACCTCTATATGACATTGCGCTAAAAAAATGCACTTTTCGTAGTGACTTCCGAAATCGGAAGTCACATCGTTATATATGAAGTCACAACGTCTAGTGAGTATCTATTTTGGAAGTCACTTGGTACTATTTATCAATATATATATATATATACATACATACATTTAAGATTGATTGTGTGTATAAACATAGATATATCTATCTATTTCTTTATAGTAGATATATGATTTAAGGTATGAAAAGATATTTTAATTTGTATCTAAACTTTACAAAAAAGTAACAAAAACAATATTTAATTTTTACATAAATGATAAATTAAATGAAAAAAATTATAACCACGAAATTTTTATTTTGGTTTTAGAGATAATTAAACTGTCTATGGACGAAAGTGAATATGTTTTTGAAAAAGGAGGCAATTTAGATATTTACTGTTATGGAACTTTAAGCATTCACTGGAAAGTCCCAAGGAAATCAGTACGTATAAAGCTAAAAATAAAAAAAGTCAAATAATTCAAAATAATTGTGATATTTTTTAGGATGGCTACACTGAAATTAATAAAAAAAGTGTACCAGGAAACAACACCTATTCATACATCACTTTACTCGAAATAAGAAATATTTCATTCCTCTATGTGGGATCATACATGTGCGTTGGTCAAAGTAAAAACACTTCTATATACATCTTTGTTAAAGGTAACTAATTAAAATTTATTTACACAAATAAAAACTATATAGTTTTAGATTTGGATCATTTATCTACATATCATAAAGACATATTGCACGCAAATTCAACGCCAGGTTCACAATACATAGCACCATGCAAGCCGACTTTTCCAGAGGTTATATTATTATTTGATGAACTTGAAGATGTAAGTATGTAAGAGGGCTGCAATCCCATCAATATGGTTCTACAAATAAAATACATCAAAATAATTATTTCGTCTCCTTATTTAATGAAAATCTTATACCAAAAAGCAAATTTTTCATGACGAAAGTCGAAAAGAACTAGATCTGGACTGTAAAATGCAAATCGCTATCTAGTATTTTTCCAGTCAAAAGTTTTCTTTTAATTTTTTCAGCTGGACTAATTATAATTATTGGCTATTATAGCCCTGTCCAGTAATCTCCTGTAATTGTTTTGCCCTTTTGAAGATAATTACTAAAGAGCACTTTCTTCTTCCCCTCGGTGCACTGCATGCAAATGGCTGCTACCCTTTGTTTTGCACAAAAAAAATTGCAATTACGCTTAAAACTATTAAACTAACCAATCTTTTTATACACATTATAAACTGCGCACAACTTAATGTGTCGCGACCAAAAAGTTCGTCCTTTTTCAAAACGACATAACTTTTTTGTTTCTTAACCGATTTTATTTTGGTCTGTGATGTCTGCTAACCCCATCATCTGGCAATTCATGCTATAGATATTAAGCCCACCGTTCTTTAAGTAAATTTCCTACAGGGTGAAATGTAAAACGGTGAAAAAAAGACTTCATCCAAGCCCAGTTTGTAAAAAAATATTTTTTTTTCGTTTTTACTTTGAAATAATGAAGTATTATGTGTTACCTTGAAACGGTTTTCAAATTTTTCGAATTGGAATCTTAGCAACGAAAATATGATTTTTTTTCCAAAAGAGTACATTTAAGGCTTTTTGGTAGGCAATACACTCAGTCTTTTTAAGAACAAGAAAATAAGATGGTGAAAGATTATTTCTTGGATAATTCTAAACAAGCGACAAGCAACAAATTTCCATTATTTTCAGAGGGGCCTAAGCAAAGACCACTTTTTTAAAATGACATTTTGGTGAAAATTTGCGAAAACTAAACCTGATTGTGATTCAGTTGTCAAATTTAAGTTTCAGATAAAATCAAAATCACCAAGAATCAAAATTCGAAAACCATTCTCTGCTGTTAAATGTCTTAATAAAATCCGATTTATGGCGTTTTTCTTACATATTTATGATGAAAATGCCATATGGGCATTTATTTTTTGGGCGAAATTACTGCAATTTGTTTGAGTGGTTAGGATAATGTTACATACATATACACATTTACATATACATTTACATTGCGCAGTAGTGATAACATCATTGATAAGTACCTACCTTATTGGTATTAAAGTTAAATAAAAATATTTTTGTTCATTTTTGAAAATTTTATGCGTAGATATAATCATAATCAAAACTTCAACATTCAACAGAAAAATGTAACAAACAATAACAATAATATTTCGTTGGCCCTCCCCTAACCCGTAATAATTCGTTAACCCTCCTGGGCATTCCCTCGACCAAGTTCCTTAGAAATTCCTGGGGTACCCCATTTTTTCTGAATAGCATTTACCAATTCATCCAAATTTTCCATGCGTCCTTCCCTCTCTTTCATATTCAATTTCATCCTGCTCCACACATGCTCAATAGAATTCATATCCGGAGACAAAGGTGGCCAATTCATTCTCTCAATTTGGCGGGAATTGTCGTTCACCAACACCAATTATTGGCAAAATTTTGAGCAAAAGGGACCACGATATCAATAACAACCAAATCTCTAAATCTCTCAGCATTCACTCTTTCCACTTATCGCCATTCCACCCCAAAAAGTCACTCCTCCACTTCCAAAAGCCACCCTTGCCTCCCGTTTCGTGCAATCTTCTGCGAACCGTTGATTTGGAGATGTTAATTCCCGTAGCTGCAGCAAAGTCTGGCATTGGCATTTTAATCATTTAAAGGAAAAATAAAAGTAACCTGGGTAAGATAGGGATAGGTATGTAGGTAGGTAGGTATAACTTATGCAAAAAAAACTTCAAAATTTGGAAAAACACAAACAAACTGAAAAAATCAAGAATATCCCTCATAATGCGTTTTGAATGTTTTTCAAGAACTAATTTTTATCATTTGATCCTCGATTTCATCATTCAGCGACATGATAATAACGAACTAAAGATTCAAAACACAGTAAAAAACAGTAAAAACCAGCAATCGGATTTTATTGAGACATTTAACAGCCGGGAATTATTTTCGAATCTTGATTTTGGTTTTATCTCAAACTTAAATTTGACAACTGAATCACAATCAGGAGGTCAAAATTATAAAGAAAACATGTCACGAACGTAAATATCAGTTTAGGTTTAGTTTTTTCAAACTTTCACAAAAATGTCTTAGCTTAGGCCCTCTGAAAATAAAGTTTGTTGCTTGTCGCTTGTTCAGAATTATTTAAGTCATATTTTCGTTGCTAAGATTCCAATTCGAAAAATTTGAAAAAAAAAAGTTTCATAATACTTCATTATTTCAAAGTAAAAACGAAAAAAAAAATATTTTTTTACAAACGGGGCTTGAATGAATTTATTGAAATTTTTCACCGGTTAACATATCACCCTGTAGTAAATTTACTTCGCAAACCGTGAGCTTCCTATCTATAGCATGAATTGCCAGAAGATGAGGCTAGCAGACATCACAGACCAAAATAAAATCGTTCAAGAAACAAAAAAGTTATGTCGTTTTGAAAAAGAACGAACTTTTTGGTCGCGACACATTGAGTGGAGCGTTCTTCCTACTTTGAATTGGGAATCCCCCAAATGGTATTGAAGCGATTGAATATTCTGAGTTGTGTGTATAGCATTTAAAACCCTTGGTTTATTTCAGATAACAGCAGTGAAACCTAGTTACCTCCGTATTTCATACAAAACAGATCCCCATCATGGAGTTATTATTAGAAAAGCCAGTGAATATATTGGAGATAGATTCTTTCAATGTGTTTTTAAGTATGAAGATATAGAAGAGTCGTTTGTGATAATCCTTCATGTACAAAGTAAATATTTTAAAATTTATTTAAATATTCATTTTGTTAAATATGTCAGGTCTTTTATGAGTTATGCTTTGGCCCCTAACGTCACTCAATAAAAAACTAAATAACATCTCTACATTTTAATAAGGCTACATGAGGAGTGATTTTTCAAAAGGCCTTATTTCCATTTTTACTTGAATGTAATTTTTTGACAAAATCCCAAAGGTATGGTTAAAAGGCATATATTAACGGCGAAATATGACAGCAGGTCTGAAGTATTATTAAGGCCCAGTTGTATAACAGTTGGTTAACAGCTGATTAGCTGATTAACTCTGAATTTAATTTAATTTAATGTTTAGCGGTGCTCCGTTACTGACAAAGTGTACTACACTTAGTTATTGTGTGGTACACTTTGTCTGTCACGGAGCACCGCTAAACATTAAATTAAATTAAGAGTTAAATTTAAGAGTTAATCAGCTAATCAGCTGTTAACCAACTGTTATACAACTTGGCCTAAATATTCATATATTATATCACGAGAACTATGAATTTAATCGGTTAAACTATATATATATATATATATATATATATATAGGCTCAGTAGTTAATTGTTTGTTTTTTCTTGGAAAATGTTGAATGCAAAATAATTTAATAAAATCACGAGACCGAGCGGTCGAGGGGTTTTATTTTTAATTATTTTGCATGAAACTATTTTCCAAAAAGAAAAATGAAATAAAAAACTTACCGAGCATAGTTTGACAGATTAAATTTATAGGTTGAGTGATATACGTCTAGATTATTTCTCGAATTAAAGGAAACTATGACAAATAATTAATATTTGTTTATTTTAAAACATACAAAACATTTTTTTTAACTTTTATAATATATACCTATATAATATATAACTATTTAGTATTATTGCAATTAGCCCAAATAGCACACGACCTCCCAAGGACATCCTGATTGGGTCTGTCCGGGCCAGTTTAGGATATCCCATTTCTGACGTACCTTGGACGTCCATGGGACCAGTAGCGTGCAAAGGTGATCGGGGGCCCCCCCGCAAATTTTGAGCTGGGGCCCCTTTGTCACTTATACCACCCAATGTGGATTTCTACGGGGCCCCCCTAAGGTCGGGGGCCCCCCGCACCGCGGGCCCTGCGGGGCCCGTCCTGCACGCCACTGCATGGGACGTCCTGAAATTAAATTGGGTATAGTATATTGGGTATCCCATTTCTGACGTACCTTGGACGTCCATAGGACGTCATAGAATTAAAATGGCAATAGTATACCATATATATATATATCTTCATGCCGTCTTTCCAAAAGGCAAAAAATGTATAGCATTTGCATCATCTGCCACCTGTCTAATGATGCAAAGTGACAGATATCTGTCACCTGTCATATGATGCAAGGCGACAAATATCTGTCACCTTTCATAATCTGCCACCTGTCATTTTCTTATCTGTCATTTGCCACCTTCATTTGTCACCTGTAATATTATACAAGGCGGCAGATATCTGTCACTTTCCAACACCTGTCATTTGTCACCTATCATACCTGTCATTTGTCACCTATCATACCTGTCATTTGTCACCTGTCATTTCTTACCTGTCATTTGTTACCTGTCATTTATCGTTCTGCATAACTTTGCTTTCTGTGCATAATATCATATTTGAATTTGAATACGGCTGGCTTCGACTGTGCTGCCACCGTTTTGTACCGATCGTTACTCGAAGTGCTCCAAAAGTTGCCGAATTTGCCAACTGTTGGTGTCATAGTAAGGAACGTTTAAATATTTGAATTTAGCAACACAAGGTTTTCGGCTTCGTTATCAGAGAGTTCGTTATTTATTTTTGGTTCAACGTAATTTCTAAGTCTGATCAAATGTAAAGCTAAGAAAATGTTTTCTTTACAATCTACCAAAAGCAAGATCCAATAATATTGGGTGGCTGAAACAAATATGGATGCCAAGCCGCTAAGGGTAAAATCTATTTTCTTTTAAATGTGCTAGTGGCACTATTCCGAACACCCTGTATAGTTATCATGACAACATGAAAAGTCTCAAAAAGCCCTCACAGTACCTTAATAAGCTGGTTTGAGTATATCCCGACATAGTCCTAATCAGGACGTCCTACGGACATCTGAAAGTGTATCATTTGGCCGTCTGTAGACCTCCTAGGGACGTCAAACGGACATTGCGGGACGTCCTGAGTACTTCCGCAATGTCCCAAGCTGACGTCCTGAGGACAGCCTAAGGACGTATTTGTGCTTACTGGGAGTATAAAAGTTACAATTATAGTAATTGTTTTTTTGATTATCATTGCTGTTGACTGTAGGGGATGTTTTTGAGCTGCTACAAGAAGATGTATTATTTGGCATGTCTCTCATTTTATTTATTATTTCAAAATGATGTTGTGGATCCATTTGAAGGTAAGGCTTGAGTGATGATGCGCTACTGTGCCCCGTTATTTTATAAGCTGTTGTTCTTCAGTACCACTTTTAGCAAGTTTACTGACAGCTGTCGATCGGTTGGAGTGGTTGGTTATTTTAGCTTTTTTAATACCAATTTTCTCGGCAGCATGTTTTGTCCATTTTGACACCTCATTTTTTCCCAATGGGCATCTCTAGCAGCTTTAAAAGTAATATCCCGGAAGGGATCAAAAGTTATGCCATACTCGTTATGGTACTTTTCTTGAATCTTTTTAGCTACTATATTCCACATCGTTTTAATTACTCCTTTGTATTCTTCGCCATTTTTTTTCGCATATTATATCCCCAGTCCTTCAAAATTTTAGCCAATTCCTTTAAATTAGTTTTGTTGTCCAGTTGGTAGCTTATTTCTTTACAGAATTCTAAAAATTGCTGCCATATTAAATGGTGTATCCTTTTTGATTTTTTTGGAACTGTGTAATTTCCACATCGATTTTTTGTAAAGATAATTGTCCAAATCTATCCATATTTTTCAAATTACCATTAAATTTACGATATAAACACTTAAAATGACGCTGTTTACATTTTAGTTGCCATAGTGATAAATGCAAAAATATTTTAAAAGGCACTCTATTTGACAATTAATAAAATCTGACGTATATGTTAAAATCTTAGGTTAAAATTTATTAACAATTTTTTTAACAAAATTCCATTAATTTAAAGATATGTAATAATTAATAATTGATATTTCGTAAACTAAATAACTTGTTTTTTATTATTTAAAAAAAAACTGTATGTTAAAACTTGTAAATAACACCATAAAATCGTAAACAAAAATCCAATATGGAAGTTCTAGTGATTTAATCGTTTATTTAAACAAAATTTATTCGAAAATTCAAGGCTTTTGATTGGTTCATATTATAATGAGGGAAATAATCATCAGATTTTTTTTTTAAATAATCTATATTGCCCTAACCTATACAGGTTATAGTCATTTTTTTGAAAAATTGTTGCAAATGGAAATACGACCTTTTGAAAAATCACTCCTCACATATCGTTACATTTCGGCTAAAATTGAAGCCAACTTCCTTTTGTAAAATTTGGGGATTTACAGAATGTCACACATATTTGATTTAATTTAGGTAAACCAAAACTAAAAATAGTAAGTGATGAGGAACTGTTCCACTTAGTAAACCAAAATTCGACAGTGACTTGTACGGTAACAGCAAATCCTCCACCAAAAATTAACTGGTTTTTCGAAGATATCGAAGGTCTCGCCATAAAACAGGTATTATTATGTTGTTTAAAAATAATTTGGATTATATTTTTTTGATTTTAGCTCAACGAATCCAGCAACTCCTCAAATGGCTTAAATTACGAGTTTAATTCCACTGTAACAATCAAATCTTCAACAGATGGATTTTTAAAGTGCAATGCTTCAAATAGTGAAGGGGCGGAAGATGACCAGGTTATATATTTAGTTTCGGGTAAGTTGTTTTACTTTATTTATGTTCTTTTATTTAACTTTTTTCAAATTTGATTAGTTGGTCTAAAAGTTAAAAAAGTAATTTCGTATTGTACTTTGATCAGCCGATTAGTTTCATAAAAAAGTAAAAACCTTTCTCTCTTTCTAGATGTTAAAAACGGTTTCGACTTCACCGGCTTAGAAGATTTCTATGTATCGCACAATAACGTTTACCTTGCTATAGACCAAAAAATTTCCTTAATGTGTGGGACATCTGTATTAGAATATTATGAACCGGTATGGTATGTCAACAAGACTCTGGTGAAAAAGAGTTTTGGTAAATTTGTTCTGGATACAGCTAGAACCAATTATAGCAAAAAAAGTTTTCTTCTAAAAGAAAAAGCTGAATATACAGATAGTGGATACTACGAGTGCAAGGTTCGAAGAAAGTACTACCCACATATAAATATTCACTATGGTTTATCTGTTATGGATAAATCGCCATTACGGGTAGTTCTGAATCAAAAAACAACTGTCAAGTTAAATAGAACACACCCTATTACCTTGACTTGCGATGTCTTTGGTTTGCCAAAACCCAAAGCAGTTTGGCTCAAGGTAAGCGCAATTTTTTGCTGTATATTTTGAATTAATTGCTAATGCTTTTAGGACGGACAAGAGATAAAATCCTCAAAGAAAGTGTATTTTAATGGAGTGCCTTATGTAAGATTAAACATAAACGTTCTTGAAGAAGGTACTTATGAATGCTTAGGAATTTTGAATGGCACCATTTCAAAGCAAATCTATGTGGAGTCTGAAAGTAAGATTTAACTGGTTTGAATAAATACAAAATACTAATTTTTGATTTAAGCAACATTATCAAAGTTGTTGTTCATATGCCTTGGAGTATTTTTAGCACTTTTGATTTTCGTTGTGGCTATTGCTTTAAAAATTTACAATTTAAAACAGGTAAGTGGCACATAATTTACTTCTCCTAGTTTTGTGATAGATGACAATGGTAAAAAAGAATTTGCTATAGTTAAATAACAAACTAATTTTAATTAATTCGGACATTTTTAACATATGTACAATTAAAATTAGATGCATATAAGTTGGTTTGAATATTGGCCCAGGGAAATGTATTTAAATTTTGTGAATAAATTAATATTATTTTAATAGTTACAATACCTATTTAATTACATATATAATTTTTTATATTTAAAAATTAAACATACCCACTACAATGACAACTGAAACATTTTCCAGAAAATAGAATACGAAATGAATCAAGCAGGTTTAGATAACTTTAAATCCGGCGCCATAAAAAATCTAAACCCGAAACTGGCAATTGACAAACAAGCGGACTTGCTGCCTTATGATGACAAATTCGAATTCCCTAAAAAAAATTTGATTATCGGCGAACAGCTCGGTTCAGGGGCATTTGGTGTTGTAATGAAAGCAGTGGCGAGGAATATTTTGGACCACGAAGACATGACTGTTGTGGCTGTAAAAATGGTGAAGGAAATCGGTGATCCTGCACTAATTAAGGCCTTGGCATCCGAGCTTAAGATTATGGTGCACCTTGGAAAGCATTTGAATGTTCTTAACTTGCTGGGAGCTTGTACTCGGAACATTTTTTAAAGTAAGAAACATTTGTATTGCTTTGCCTAATTTGCATTTTAGACTCCAAAATTATTAGGGACAAATTTTAGGAGAACTCATGGTCATAGTGGAATTCTGTCCCTACGGAAACCTACACAACTATATACAAAGACATCGAAACCACTTTGTTAACCAAATTAATCCCACCACGCAATCAGTAGATTTTACAATTGGGGTGGAGGTTCTTGAAAAAGTATATTCAGCTTCAAACAGGTTGGTATATATAATTATAATTTATGCAATTGGAATATTTTAAAAGAAAACTATTTTAGTTCTGCTGTGGAAGATCCCGGTTCCAGTAAAGGTTCAAGCGTATATTATACTGCAAGAACTGAAATGTCTTCTTTATCCAACAACTGTGAAGGTAAGAATTATTACTTCAAGTTAATCATATTCGTTATTAATATACATGTTTTTTAGTTAATGATGAGTTTTACCTAAGCAACAACTGCTGTATCCAACCTGATTCCGGAGCAAACTATAAGGGAGACTGCAAAGAAAATGTAAAACCAATTTTCACAAAGAATTTGATATGTTGGGCCTTCCAGGTCTCCAGGGGAATGGAGTATTTGGCTTCCAGAAAGGTTACTTTAAAATGTCTATAATTAAACGTTTATAATATTGTAATTTAAGGTTTTGCATGGAGATTTGGCAGCAAGAAACATTTTGTTATCTGAGAATAACATAGTAAAAATATGCGACTTTGGTATGGCCAAAAGTATGTATACCAATGTAAACTATCAAAAGAAAGGAGAGGTAATATAAAATCGATAATATTTTGTATACCTACCTACTAATATGTTTTTAAGGCTTTGCTTCCAATAAAATGGATGGCAATAGAATCTATAAGGGACAGCATTTTCTCTACTCAATCAGATGTTTGGTCTTTTGGTGTAGTTCTGTGGGAATTTTTCTCGCTATCCAGAACCCCGTATCCTGGTATTTCACCTTGTAAAACCCTTTATGATAAATTAGTCAGTGGTTATAGAATGGAAAAACCGGAGTTTGCCCCAAAAGAAATGTAAGAAGTTTAAATAATAGCAAACATTTTAATTTTACATGCTTTAATTTTATAGCTATAATATGATGACGGACTGTTGGTTGGAGGAACCACAAAGTCGGCCATCATTCGAAATCCTGACTGAACGTTTGGGTGACCTCTTGGAGGACAAAGTTAGAGGGGTAAGCAATTATTGTAATAACAAGGGTGAACACTAAGTATAAGTATTTCCTAAATATTAGAATCAAATATGGGGAATATTTGTATAATTGTTACCTTTTCCATTAGATATCGAATGCAATAAAGTATTTTTATATTTTTGTAGCACTACGTTGATCTCAACGACCCTTACCTGAAAATGAACACCGAAACATTGAAAACTCGAAGCGATTATTTGGCGATGGTAAGTCCCCCAGATTTCGGTGTGCTATCCTCTCCAGGTTCTGACGACTGCCCCGATCCCTCCGATTTAGACCCCTTGGGGGAAGTTGGAGACATAACGAGTTCTCTGAACATAACTACGTTAATATGAATCAAAATTCCTAATTATCCTAATGACAAGTTTTTACAAAGTGAGAATCTTAGACAGCACCTGAGGTCAACTTAGTAAATCAACAAACTGCTTGTCCGAATTTGCTTAAACTCTGTAATATAATAAGGTGACAGAACATTGTATTTTCATTTATAATTGCTTTATATTTATAACATAAAATACTAAGAAACACTTAATTGCATTATTAATCCCATACATCTACCAAGGTCTGTAACATCTTTAATTAATTTGCCATATAATTAACATAGCAATTAAAATAAAATATAAAATATTCATCAAAGACATGTGTCGCATTGATATAAAATTTATAATTGTAGGGAGACGTGTCAATTTCACTTTTAATAATTAATGACTTAAATGTACCTATATAAGGTTTTGCACCTTTCAATAAAGCTTAGTTTATTGAAAGATCCTATAAAATGGACCCAAAATCAAACTGGAAAGAAGTAAGCATTTTGATGCTACTGTGCGGTACCTGGCCCACAGAACTAACACCCGGTAAATATAGGGCGTTCTACAAAGTGGCCAAAATATTTCCTTCAATATTTTTCTTTGTATTCTTGTTAAGTTTAACTTATGGATTATATTCGGTTATTACACAGGGCGATGTGGAAAACCTACCGCCGAGTATATCGCTGTACATAACGAATTTGATAGTATCGACGAAAACGCTTATATGTCAGTTCGGGGGCATACAGAGGATGATTAAGTTATGCGTGGAGCACGATACGTTTTTGTCCAAAACTGAAGACGAAGCCATACTTAAGATAAGACGTAGTAACATAGTCAAAGCCAAGTTGTTTATGAAAGCTTTTATATTTTACACACCGTTTATGGGCATGTTATTCATTTTAACGCATTTTATGGAGTACTACGTTTTTTGGAACGAAGACAAAGCTAAGGATGTGGTTCGTCAGTTACCCTATCATTCCTATTTGCCATTTGACTCAAACGAGCATTACTTGTGGGGTCTTGTGTGCAATGCTGTTTCTGCTTATTTCGTCATTGTTTTGTATATTTCGAGCGATGTTATGCTCATCAGCTTTTTATTTTCCATCTCTATAAGGCTGCAAATTTTGCAGAATTTTCTAAGGAACCTCGACAAGTACGCTGGAAATATCAGGCAGATTCATGGCGAATTAACGGAAGAGCAGGCTGTTTTTGTTACAATAAGATTGTGTATTATTGAGCATCAAAATATAATGAAGTAAGTTTAAGTAGTAATAGAATATTTTTTAGTTTTTCGGATGTTTTTTCTAATTAAGCAATATTTTATGTTTTTTTTAATGTTTTGTAATTTGGGAACGCGAATTTAAAAAAATGACCATTTTTATTAATAAGCTCATGTTTTTTAAGATTTAAGATTTTTAACCCGTTTTTTTGACATGCAAATATTTTTTTTTCAAGCGGCCATGATATACAACCTTATATGCCTGTATAGAGATAGTTGAAGTGCGTCTTTTTCATTAGCGGCAGACAAAAAACTCAAAAAAGCCTAGGGATAGAAGTAAATCCATAGGTGTCTCAATAGACGTCAAATAATAAAATTAATTTAGCATTTCATACAAAGCAATCACGTTGTATTAATTATATTAATTATAATCGCACGGAATATTTAGTGATTATTTATTAAATTTTAATTGAACGAAATAAAGAACAACTAGTTTATTAGTATAATATTATGATGATAGACGAGTTGCCAATGTCGAAACTCCAAACAAATGTCAGTACGTCAAAATTAATTCAAGCGCAGCATTTTGACAGAACAGGGTTTATTTTTAGTTTAGAATATTTATAAGCATTGTAAGTAAGGGTTATAAGTTTTTTTAGTTTTTATCAATAATTTCTAATGCTTTTAGCCAAAATTTTATACCACATGAGTTAAGAGTAAATAAAATAATTCCATTGCTTATCCTATTTATATTACGCCCTTGAAAAAAAAATTGTATATGTATAATTGTATAATATGTATATGTATAATTGTATATGTTATTTGGAGTAGAAGCTCTTTTTGTGCTTCGTACAGTTGCCTGCCTCAGCTACGCTTCGGCCGTCAATCTCTGTACTCACCACAAAAAGAGTCGCTTCTACTCCTTATGACATAATCTACTATGTTTAAATACTTTTAAAAGGCTATCAACAAGCATTTATCAATTTTTCTCCCTTGTAAATTATTTTTTCTACTCTCCCTTATCATACACACAAAAAAGGCTTTGTTATAGTCAATAACAATGCTATAATTGATTGTTTTTTCATTTCTTCAATAAAAAATAAAGTTTATTCAAACAAATATGTTTGGAGCAATTGAGGGTAAGGGATTGATGTTATTATAAATATTATATTTAGCCCATAACAAAATATTATCAAGTTAAAATTACTTGTTATACTGTGAATTGCTCTTTATATTTAAACCTAATGGAAATGTTTACTTTCTTGAAAATTTTAGAAATTATTATATTCAAAGTTTATCTGATCAAGGTAAAATTAATAATATTTAATTAAATATAAAATTGATTTATATTAAAAGTTATAATGCTTCAACCAAAAATTAAAAACAAATGTAATAAGAATTGTCTTTGTTTCTTTTAATGCTTATGATTTGTATAAAGTAAGTTATAACTGTCTTACAGTTAATACCAATGTTTTCACTGTCTTGAAAAATACTTGTTATTTGCCCAATTATCATTCCCATTTTTCAATGCGGTCCATATTCGAGGGTAATTACACAAGTGCTTAAAAATTATCGATAATTTTGCTTGAAAGCATATTGCCTAAAAAAATGTTAATTTTCATATTTTGGAAAGAGCCCGACACCGAAGGTGGAGGGCTTTTTCCTCAAAATATGAAAATGACCGAATGCATTTTTTAAAAGGCAATATGCTTGAATGAAAAATTATCTGATTATTTTTATGCACGAGTGTAATTTGTTTAGATAACTACACGAATAAACTAATTAAATCAAAAAATAATATTTTTAAATATTTTTACATTATTTTTCACATTTTCATTAATTGAGTCAAATGATTCTTTACCAAAACGTGACATTTTAAATAACTGTTACATTAAAATAAAAACTGACGTTATTTTTATTAATTGCCATGGATACGTAGATACAATAGAATTATCGATTTCTAGTAGACAATTATCGCTGTAATCAAGCAATAATTGTCTTGTATGCATATATAAGAGGGTAATTATCAATTTAATTTAATTAAATCATTAATGATTCAGACAAACGCGCAGGGCATCCCCTGTCACACCACAAATCGGCAACCTGCAATCGCGTACGTGCGTATAGTTAAATGTGATCAACTGATTAATCGGTATTTCTGGTATGGGTTATCTCTGGTGTAGGTAGTGTTTGGTTGTTTGTTATATTTGCTAATTTCTTGGAAGTTGTACTTCCTAATCCCGATTTTTCAAGGTGAACCAAAAACAAAACTGTTAAAAATAGATGTGGATTTATAATTAAAACTTAATTTAGAACAATATACGGTTTTGACACTCTACAGAGTGTCTTAAACTTTTGGTAAAAAACATCTTTTTGTTTAAACCTGTATATTATAAACGTACGTCTATTTTTTAGTAATTTTTAAAATGTGAGCGATTTTCCATTAATTTATCTACAATATTCTTTAACATTTGTTTTAATCCGAAATCAAATAAAAAAGTTATATGTGATTGAAATTTATAGAAAATTTGTGTGATCGATTATTTTGCCTGTGAGTGTATATATTTTTTTAAATTTATTTTTTAAAAATATTTTTTTAAGAGCAACTGCTTTGCATTATTTTAGGTTGGTAATAGAACTTAACAGCTACATAAACTTTTTACTTTTATTGGAATTTTTTACAAATTCCATGCAACTCGCAGCCAACCTGTTAGCCATAATGGAGGTAAGCAAACAAAATTAAATAATTAAAATTAAATATTAATTAATATACATATATATGTATATGAAAATATCCTTGAAGAGGTCGATTTGTTTTTCAATTACGCACATTTGTATACATATATGTACAATTTTTATATTTCCGCTATTTTTATAGAATCTCTGACGTAATCGGCCATTTTTTTGTACCCCCCTCTTTTTTTTAGATTGTGATTTTAGCAATATGCACATTTATACCTTTTGGACTGATATATAGTGTCAGAGATATTAATTATTAAAAGTGGAAAATTTATAATTTTTAATAATGTTTTGATGTTTTATAGTTTTTGTTAAAAGACTTTTTAATTGAGGAGCATCCGTGCAAAACCGGCTAAATCCATTTTATTCAGTTTTTTGGTTTTTTTTCTGATTTCGCATCTTTGGGTTCACGAATTACAAAAACGTTTTTATAAAAAAAATTGTAGATTATTTATTATATAACATTTTGGCATCAAAATTGTCAAAAATATTCTTCTTTTATTAGGTTATACATTAAATAAAAAAAAGGCAAGAAATATTTTATGAAAGTAGATCTAATTTTAATAATTGAAAGGTGTGGACGGGACAAAAAAAGATTTATCTTGTCCCGTCCACCCCTTTCAATTATTGAAATTATCTCTACTTTTATAAAATATTTCTTGCTTTTTTTTAAATTTAATGTATAGCCTAATAATAGAAGAACATATTTGACAATTTTGATGCAAAAATAATATATAATAAATTACTTACAATTTTTTTTATAAAAACAGTTTTGTGATTTGTCCCGTCCATCCGCTTGAAATGGCCGTTCATTTCTATCGACAACCAAGATAATTCTGTTTAAATCCGACTATATCCATCTTAAAATCACATTTAAAAGGTAGCTTTAGGAGCAAAACCGGCCAAATCCACGTTTTTATAGCAAACCCGGCTATATCCAATAAATAATAATGATGATGAGCATGTGGCTTGGATATGTGGATACTTAGAAGTAGAACAACTAAAATTTGTTCTGTTTTTTCATGTTTGTACTAAATTTATTTTGTTAATATTTTTGAATAATAAACGTTTTTTTTTCACATTTTATTCGGTTTTTGAGCAAAACCGGCTATACATATACAAAACATTTTTTGAAATTTTGGCCTTAATATAAAACGAAAGTATGTCTTATAAATCAAGTACCACAAAGCCCACAAAACTCAAGTTTTCTTTTTCTTTTATCTGTAAAGGAAAGGAAACCGAGAGTTTTTGCCATTTTTCCAACATTTTATTAAATTGGATATAGCCGGTTTTGCACGGATGCTCCTCAATTGGGCTTGAATAAAATTTATAGAAGAAATGTTCATAAACTTTGTCAATATTTTTCATTTTAAGGTCAAACTTTTTTAGTTTATTATTATTTTTTGTTATTCTTCAAATAGCAAGTGTCGATATATGGAAGTTTTTTATTCTCTATTTCTTTGTTAGAATATAATTTAAAACAAATATTCACTAATAAATGTAAACACTTTTGTTTGAGCGTTCAGTGAAGTACCTATCTGTATCTTCTCCAAATATTTCCAAGTATCTAAATATGGGCCATTTAACGGAAACACAGAGAATTAAAGTGTTATTCTCATAGTTTTTTAAAAAATACCATTTTACAAACAAAAAATATTTATAAAAAAAATCTACTTACTGAGATATTACACTTCATGTTGGATAGGTTTTTAAATAAAAAATTAATGAACTTAAACTTTTGAATTATAAAACAGCAACACTCTCATCTGCATATAAATTCTAACTGACCTTCAGTAATCACATGCATCTATAATGTCGTAAACAGAGGTTTTTTCTTATTTAAAATGATTAAAGCGCCATCCGTTGCATAAAATTTAAAGCAAAAACAGATTCATGGAGGATAGAATCAATTTTTGTAACACCTACATAAATGATTATAAAAATTATTTCTTTTAATTTTTAATAATATTTTATATTTGATTCGATTGCTTTGGATGTGTTTAATTTACTTAGTGAACTGATATATTTAGTATGCTATTACTACCTCAGATATTTGAAAACATAAAGGTTAACCTAGGAAGAGTAACATTCACGGAGGGTAGGTTTAAGAATTTTAAAAAATTGTAAAAAATAATTAATTGCGGTTAAAAATCTGGAACTTGAGCTGTAATATCTACTTAATTATGAAAGATCAAAATACAATAAAAGTGTAGGTCAAACTCATTTAGTTTTGTTAAATATCACGGGGTAACACGTTTGGGGGACATTTCGTGAGATTCACCCATTTATATATATATATTTTTAAAATGTCTTGGAAATTACAAAAAAAGATCTCATAAATTTTAAAAATTTATCCTACCTTTTTTAAACTTATGCCACTGTAAGAATTTTTTCTACCATTTTAAAAATTTATTTTGCTGTATTATTCTTAACCATGATACTATATATATAAGACTTATGCAGTATTGTGCTCTTAACGCTTATAACATCAAATAAATAATAAAATTAACCGTTTTTGTAGATTGAATTTGGTGGTCTATTTTTCTGTTTACTAGTATACTTATCCCAAAGAGTGGCCGAAATTATGATTTTACATTATACTGCTGACGGAATAAAATCAGAGGTACGTAAATAAAAACAATAGTTAGTATTAAAAGATATACAGGGTGTACCAAAAATGGTATATCAACATCCAGAGCTGGGAGTATGTTGAAAAAAAGATGCTTAAAAGTAACTTCCCTGATAGCAAAATTTGATTTTAAGAATCTTCTAAGAAGATATGACCCGGAATAATGGAATATTCTTGGAAGCTTCCCTTATTGCTAAGAATGTTCTTAGGGACTTTTAAAACATTCAATAGATAGCCTTTTAATGATGCAATTAGATTCTTAAAAGCTTCTTAAAACCTTCTTAAAAAGCATCCCAAGAATATTTTAAGAATACGTTTTTGGAATGTTCTTAGAAGGTTTCTTATGGAGCTTCTAGGAAGCTTTTGAGAATATTCCCAAATATGTCAAATACCCTTGTTCTAATATGTTGTATTCTACATTCGTAAAATTCTTCTGGAGACGACAAATACGCCCCACTGTCATAATATGACAGTGAAATGTATTTGTCGTCCCCTTAAAAAATTTTGCAACATATTAATATATTTATTTAAAAATATTAAATAAACAATTTGACCTCTAAACGAAAAGTAAAATTGGAAAATTTTGTTGGAATAACTCAGATTAGATTGAATTTGAAGATAGTTAGGATTATTATACATAAAAATGTTCATTCAGAAATAAAAACTCGGTATACAAATTAATAAATATTTATTTTTAACATACAATAAAATACCTATAGTAAAAGTATTTTTGTTATCGAATATTGTTTTAATTTAACAAATAACTAGGTATAAAAAAATGTTTTGGATTGTGTTTTTTTACTTAGTATTTAATACTAAATACTAATTAGAGTATGCATACTACCCATGGGTAGTAGTATACCTTTATACGTAGTTTATGGTATATTTTACTATTATATAGGTAACTAAACTAAATATGCTTAACAGGAATATTCCTAAATGAACTTTCTATAGCAATTACTTTCTTAACATTCTAAGCATATGTTTAGAGTAGACTAAATTTTACCACTAAAACTTTGCACCTTCTAAGAACCTGCCTATAAGAATATTCTTAGGATCATGCTATATTTCTTTTAAGCATGTTCTTTAGAAGAAATATGGCATGATCCTAAGAATATTCTCACTGGAAGGTTTAAAAAACATTCTTAGAATAAAGTGTGCTATCAGGGTTAGATAACTAAGATAATTTTTATAGTAACTAAGATACTTTTTAAAGTAACTTAGATACTTTTCAGTGTAACTCAGATGTAATACAGAAAATTGGGGGAATTCCAGAATGATTCAAAGTAATTATTAATTTTATAGTTTTTATTCAAACTTAAAAGTGACTTGGTTACTTAAAAGTATCTTAGTTACTTAAAAGTATCTTAGTTACTTAAAAGTATCTAAGTTTCTCAAAAGTATCTTAGATATTTTCATATAGTATGATATTAGTATCTTAGATACTAAACTAAAGATACTTTTAACCAGAGGTAACTAAGTTATTTTGTTTAAAGTATCTTAGAAAAGTAACTGGATACTTTTCAGAAGTAACTTTCCCAGATCTACCAACATCATTGTAACTATTGTGAAATATTAAATCTATTTTAGAGCCTTAATCTGTCTCAAGCTATTTGCGACTCAAACTACTACAATTTCAACAAGAAATCCAAAGATTGCCTTAGACTCATGTTGCTTGTAAGCCAAAGACCTTTGATTTTAACAATTGGATCCTTTGGAGAAATGTCATTGGTTCCTGCATTGGCGATTTTTAAAACAGCCTATACAATCATTACTTTTGTAAAACAAACAAATCACAGTTAATAGAAATGTGGTTTGGACAATTAAAAAAAAAAGTTTGTTGAAAAATTAAATTTTATGTAGATACAAACATGTTTTTGCACGCCTCTTGTAGTTAACGCAATAAATTGACGAGCATCTCAAATTTTATTATTTATAATAAGTTTGTCAGCCTTGACTTGGCGGTATTTTGCCTATATATAGCTTGTTAGTAAAGGTAAAGTATAACCCACTCTAATTTAAAATCAAAAAATTATCATTTCATTTCCTAACCTTATTAATAATTAATGTATTTTTAACAATGGTCTCATATGACACGGTATAATATAGACATAGTTTTATAACTTTATTTTGCTGCGATTCTGATCTGTCTTTCTATTAAAATGGTTATTATAAGTAAACAATTGTATTATCAAAATCTTCCGATGCCAATAAGATGTGATAAGCTTATACATAATCACGAAGCAAGCTGTTTGAAGTTCAATATTTATATGGCGCACAATTTGGTTATTGGTGTCACGAAGTTTTTAGTTCCATGTTATTTGGTAAGTTCATTAAAGAATTTAAAATAATTCTTATAACTTTTAATTTGGTGAAAAATATAATTTTTATTTTAGGCAAAACTCCTACTAAACCACAAAAAAATTAATAGAAAATACTTAAAACAATGGTTTATTTCCTTCCTTAGAAGTGAAACATATGGTCTTCTTTTTGGTATTTTTACAATATCGCCTTATTGTATTTATTCGTAAGTTAAAAAAATTACAAGGTGTATAAATTTTTTGATTTAGGAATTTTTTTAGTAAACTTTTTGGTGAAATAGGTTATTATACTGCATGCTTTATGCCCGGATGTCTTGCTGGCCTATCATTGCTTGTAGAAGATAAAGAAAATAGGATTTTTGATACCATCGCTTTTGTGAATTGGGTACATATTTTTTTATTTAAACATTGTTATTTTAATCAACAAAAAAATTGTTTTAGGTTATAGAAGCAGGAATTAACAATATACGTTACTTTAACCTTTTTAACTTTAATACAACTAGAGAGGTTCTATTATTTATGTTTTTAAGCTCTTTTTTGATGTATCTTCTACAAAATAGGAAGGAAAAAATTGACTTTATGCATCTTTGGTAATATTTTGAAAACAGGGTGTATATTTAGACATTCTGTATAATGGTACCTACTTCCTAGATTACTAACATTGAGTACGCCCACCTATATTACCTAATTTTGGGCTACTAATTAAATTGAAAAAGCAACAAAGGGTTTCGGTATAAACATAAAAAGAGCAGGAAACGGAAGTGGTAATGAAAGTGGCAGAGAAAGAGAAAGGAGACGAACCTTTATGTCGTCGTTGTAAATTTGTTTTGTTTTTGTTGCGGTACCTTTACGCCCAAGAAAAACCAATGCAATATTTCATTACAAAATTTTATGAGATATACCTACTTTAATTTTGCAGGAATATTAAATGGACCTGATATACGACGTTTAGTGAAAGATCAAGCATTCAAAAATGCTCTCAAAGTTGACGAGCTTGTCGCATATGGCAGTGTTAAAGCTGTCATTGAAAATGTTCTTGGTTCATATCGGGGGTAAAATTGGCGCCAATTCATTGAAAAAATGCTTTCCGTTTTGCAAAGAATTAGCGTTAATATGTCATTTAAAATACATTTTCTTTTTTTTTCATCCTGATAAATTTGCCGAACTGATGAACATGGAGAACGATTTCACCAAGTAACTGCAAATCTAGAGCATTGGTAGATATCTATGGGTATAGCGGAAAGAAGTTGGATTCATTGCAGCAAAAGATGTACGACGATGATTAAGCACAATAATACTATAATTCAATTCGATATTTGATACGATTTAAAAAATTTATGGTAGAAAAAAGCAAAATTATGCAATGCATTAAATTTTGTGGGCTTAATTTGCATAAAAAATACCGAAACTTGTTTATTTTGTTGCCCTTTCAATTCAATAATTAAAATAAACGACAAAAAGTGTAATGTTTTTTTTTACATAAAATACATTAAAATTTTAGTTTTAGTATTTAAAATGTCATATTGTTAAGATAAATATTACCAACTTGCCGTATACCAATTACTTCAGTACATTCAAGATAAATTTAAGCCAAAATAATTTAATAAATAAATAAAATACTAACAAAAAAAGCTTACATTTTGAGGTGATTAAGCAGAGCTTAAACTAATCTGGAGTACTCAATGTTAGGAAAAAAAGTTTCTAAAACTATCATAGTGTTATGTATAAAATCGGGGAAAACTTTTTGAGTATTACCTCCAAATTTTAATACATTTGACATATTTTAGGTTTTATGTACCCTCAAGATGTAAAAATGTAAAAAATAAGAGAGAAGGAGAATGTTATCATGAGGATACCTGTTCTAAATATTGCATTGAGGTGACTAACATATTACAAATAATATTTGGGGGGTATTGATTGCATTTAAGAAACACCCCCCTGTATTTAAATTTGCATATATATTTTTTTATTTTAGGGTAGTATTAGATATTTAACTATTGGGTACGCTTTAAATTTATTTAAAATGATTCTTCCAAAACTTGGCAAAATTGTGGCAAGCCCAAAAGTCCTCCTATCTACAGTATTTGACATTTCCAATGTAAAATTTGGTGTATTCCTAAGCGCCTATGTTACCTTATACAGAGTAAGTTGAAAGTCGAATTTTTATATTAGTAGTAAATAATAAATTTTTACTGCCTTTTACCATCAATAACCTATCCCGTATGGTCTAAATCACTTTTAAGTGCCTAGGCCATAATCAATCATTTTAGTAACGAGTATTACCAAGTTATAATTATATACCGATATATATTATTTTTTTAGTATGTATCTTGCTTCTTAGTCAAAAAGGACAGAAGACAAAGGTCCTGGCACGCGGCTTTAGCAGGACTAATATCAGGAGCTACGTATTTAATATCTCCTAATATACAGATACTAATAATTTCAATGACTACTATCTTACAAGTAAGTCTATGGGGGTTTTTTTCCAAAAATAAAGAACAAGATATAGGTAGATGTAGATAAGGGTAATTCAAAAAATCTACTATTTTTTTAAATTAAAATTGAAAAATTGATTCATCATGGGCACCACTACGTATGAGCTCTTAGTACACTATGATAGTTTTACAAACTTTTCTTTCCTAACATTAAGTACTCCAGCTTAGTTTAACTAATTTTGGGCCGCTGATTTCAAAAATGTTATTAGGACGTCTAGGATTTAAAATAATTTCGTAATAAAATGCTCTGCTCAATCACCTCAAAATGTAAGTTTTTTGTTGGTATTTTAATTATTTATTAAATTATTTTGGCTTAAATTTATCTTGAATATACTAAAGTAATTGATCAGATTGATAATAGTTCATATTTATATAAACAATATGACATTTTAAATACTAAAACTAAAATTTTAATGTATTTTATGTAAAAAACAACCATTATTTGACATTTTTTGTTAAACAAAGTAACAAAGTAAACAAGTTTCAGTATTTTTTATCCAAATTAAGCCCTAAAATTTAATGCAATGCATTTTGCTTTTTTCTACATTAAATTTATTAAATCGTATCAAATATCAAATTGGATTATAGTATTATTGTGCAAATTCCAGCAAATGTCTCCTAGCAATGAATCCAACATCTTTCCGCTATACCCATAGATATTTACCAATGCACTAGATTTGCAGTTATTTTGTGAAATCGTTCTCCATGTTCATCAGTTCGGCAAATTTATCAGGATGAAAAAAAAAGAAAATGTATTTTAAATGACATATTAACGCTAATTCTTTGCAAAACGGAGAGAATTTTTTCAATAAATAGGCGCCAATTTTAAGCCTGATATGAACCAAGAACATTTTCAATGACAGCTTTAACACTGCCATATGCGACAAGCTCGTCAACTTTGAGAGCATTTTTGAATGCCTAATCTTTTATTAAACGTCGTATATCAGGTCCATTTAATATTCCTGCAAAATTAAAGTAGTAGGTATATCTCATAAAATTTTGTAATAAAATATTGCATTGGTTTTTCTTGGGAGTAAAGGTACCGCAACAAAAACAAAACAAATTTACATCGACGACATAAAGGTTCGTCTCCTTTCTCTTTCTCTGCCACTTCCATTACCACTTCCATTTCCTGCTCTTTTTTCATTTTTGGTTCTTAAAATCACTTTCAAGTAAAAATACAATTTAAAGTTTAAATGGCAAAAATTAATAGATGCACTTTAATGTGCTTGAACGATAAAGTAGATAAAGGCGCCTTTATACTTCAATTCGATATTAAATTTTGATAAGACTTTATAAATAAGATTCAAAATTAAATTTTTGGGTACTTTAGGCATGATGTGAATAAAAACATATCAAATAATAGTCGAAGAGTAATGCTTATACCGAAACCCATTTACTTTGTTGCCTTTTCAATTTAATTAGTACTTAAAAAAACGACAGAAAAATTTCAAAAAATGATACTTTTTACCAAAAAAACATTATAATTTTAGTTTTTGTATTTAATAAAGCACTTCTCTGCAGAAAAGTGCTTTATTAAATAGCCCTTATATAATACTAATACGGCTACAATGGAACAAACAAAATTTCTATTTGACATTTATCTACCGATGGCTTAGTATGAAGTCCCTTTATATTTTTGACAAAAAACGTCAAAAATATACTGAACATCCAAAATCGATTTAAGGCAAAATAATTTAATAAATATTAACCAAAAACTTACATTTTGAGATAATTGGGCAGAGCATTTTATTACGCAATTATTTCGAATCCTGGAGCAAAACGGGTGCCATTTTTGAAATCAGCAGCCCAAAATTAGGTAATATAGGTGGGCGTACTCAATGTTAGTAATTCGAACTATAGTGTTATTAATATTAAGATCCTCATTGCAATTTTAAACACCGACAGACAGCTATTTCACACCCAAAACAAAATACTACTTGAGCTTATATAGGTACTGCCCAAGCCAACAGAGGCGAGATGTACATTTTTTGAATCACCCTTATGTTTTTAGTCTGTTATAATTACTAATATACAAATTTTAGATATTTTACCAAAAAATTAAAAGGAAATATATGAATATTTTGGATAATAGAATACCCCTACATATTTTGTTTGCCTTATGTAACGGTTTATTATATTTTAATAGAATAGCTTATATTTATACATGCCCCAAATTTTACAAAAACATGCTGGGGTTGGGAACAAATTATAGGTTTGTAACCCATTTTCATATATATTATATTTTTGAATGTTTTATATTTTTTTTAGATTGGAAATGATCTACGATCATATTACAAAAACCTTTTTCTAAGAATACTTTGGAAATCAAAAGTAGCTAACATCTGTATTAAAATAAAACCCAAAATAAAAATCATTATTTATTAAATTAAGATTACTTTTGTCTTAAATTCAAAGCATACTGTTCAAATTCCCTCCTCAATTCTGGATCATCGTGAAACTCCTGAGGCATCGAGTAAGTCGCCTCGGTTTTAATCTTCTTATTTTTACTACCAAAAGGTCTTCCCTTTTTTTTCTTTATTCTTTGATATCTTTCGGAAAACGATGAGTTGCTCAATTGGGTGCCCAAATTTGACGAGTTCGGAGATGAGATGCTTGATATCGCGTTTTGAAGTTCGTTTTGGGGGGTGGATATGAAATCTTGAGTATCCGGAAGAGGGGGGAGTTCTTTGATGCCCCCCAGTTGGGGGTTCACCATCAGACTGCAAGGGGGAAACCCAAATCTACCCAAAACCTAATTTACAGCATTGATTGTTTGAAACTATAATTACAACTTCATTAACAACCTGAGAGATGTAAAAATCCTTCTCCTGGCTGCCCAAGGACTCCCAAGATGTAGCAACAGCAGACTTGATTTGCTGCTTTGGAGCATTTGGATACATCCATTGGTATAATGTCCTAGTTCTTTTGGAAAACAAGGATTTTGCGGCCTTGTGAATTTCTTCTTGTTTTGAAGAAGAATTTTGGAAACAATTGCTATCAAACGTAACGGGGTATGGTTGAAAATCATCAGACAACTAAACATTTTGATAAAAAAAATATTATTTTGAATCAAACTTTGATAGGGTATACCACATAGTTATTGGACACTATATGCCGTTGTTTTAGAGATTTTAGTTTTTTTAAAGAGATGACCTCAATTTTTAACTGATTGCACAACACACTTAGTTCGTAACTTAACTAGGAGACCTGTCCAATAACTATTCAAACCCAACCAAAGATTCTTTGTAAAGAAAATTAAACAACACTATTCTTTATGTAACTTTTAATACAATAAAAATCATGATTTAAGGAATACAGTTATTGGACATATGTGTCCAATAATAGAACTTAACATATTTTACCAACCAGTAATTGGACACTGGCCATTTTACTGTTTGTTTTCAGAATTATAATTAAAACGCATTAAAGTGAGAATGTTTAAACAATGAGGAACACATTTATTCCTTTGAGGTAACTATTTATATAACTCTTATAGAACTCTTGTTTTTACAGTATTAATGTTAATTGTCCAATAACTATAGTGTCCGATAACTGTCCAGTTTACCCTACATTAATATGGGGCTTTGTCCAATAAAAAAAGATTTACAAGACTTTAGCACGAAAAAACGACGTTGTACCAATGAAACTTTTCGTACTCATTCTAACGACCCCCCAGATAGAAGTTCTAAATAAAAAAATACTACGAATATATATATATGTTTCTCTACGACTACTTAAGAATAGTAACATTCTAGTGTAATTTTTGATCATAGAAAGGATGTTTTTCTGCAATACTGTGCGAGAATATTCCTACTCTTGGTTAAGAATGGTCACAAGTAACGACATCTCCTGACTGTTTAGTAAACGTAAAAAATTTAAAAATATTTAAATATTACTGTATTATTTATTAATTAAAAAATAATAGCAGTTGTATAATTAAGGTTTAGGCACAAAAAATTGGTTATATTTGTTGTTTTTCAAATATACAAATCAAAATTATAATAAATTTGATATTAAAATGATAAACCAGTTACCTACTATACCGGCTTTGAAGTTTTGACAGATTCAAAAAGTTTAAAAAAAGACCTTTAAAATGTAGAAAAAGAATAGATGTTGACATAGATAAATAAATAAATAAAATAAAATACTTTATTTTCATCCCAAGAAACATACAGTTTATAGAGGGACACCTCTAATCATACAATTACTTGTAAAATTAGTTTTGTATTTGTTACAATGTTATTTTTTTTATTAGTTAGTGTAAATAACTATTTTTAATTATAATAAAGATTTAGGCATACCATTTGTTTAAATTTATTATAATTTACATTATAAAATTGTGACGGCACAAAATGGTTTGACAAGACAAAAAACTTAAATGTCAAAAACTGCTTGGTTTCTTTTCTCTGTTTAAAATTATATAAGCGTTACTATTCTTACGTAGTCGTAGAGAAAATAATGTCTGAAACACGTTTGGAATAGCATATTCCACTCTCGTAAAACCGTCACACTCGCCTTCGGCTCGTGTGTCAAATTTTTCCTCGAGCGGAATATGCTGTATTCCAAACTTGTTACAGAATGTACTATTATGTTTATGAGATATTTAGTTTTGGTACCTCATAATCATTTTCCCCAATATACAAAAGCAAATAAACAATAAGGACTTTTGCAAGCTGCCCTGGTAAAATTGTCAGCAATAAAAACTTACCCCTACTGTATAAGTATGTCTTCTTTTTCTAAATCTCCCATGAGAATTGTTCAAATTTGCTGGGTAATAATGCACAATTTGCGATTGACTTTGTGGATTTGGATGAAACTCAGAAATATTTACAGGGTTAGTATTGCTGTGCTGATATGTTACGTTAATATTGTTATGCTGAAAGAAATTTACAAAATTATAATTTTATATAATGTAATAATATATTTCGTTAAGATAATAGTATTATATTATACGATAGATAAAGCGAGTGTTATACTATACTTTATTTATTTATTTGTCATATGGTTAACCTCACTTTTTAACAATTTTAAATGTTATTATAGTCGCCTTCTCCCAATTTAAAACCCGATTGGTTTAAATCACTGTGAATATTGAAATTGGCCAATAACAAGTTCATTATTCTTGTTGATTGCAGGAAATTTATAATGTTTATCATTATTCACAAAAAAACCCAATATTATACAATGGGAGTAGATATTGAGATCGATTTTAATAAATCATTACTAATGATACCAGAGCAGAACTTACCGAAGATGGTTGTACGTAAGTGGTATTTCCCACATATTCCCCTTGAAAATTCCTATTAGTCGACGTCAAATCAATCGGTTCGTCAAAATTTGAACCAGAAACTTCAAAAGCAAAATTTTCTTCCTTAACAATCGTGCAATTGCCTCTTTTAACCTAAATAACCCAGGTAAAACACATTGATTGTCACTTAATTACTAAAACTTTCTATTTACTCACATTATTATTAATAATGACGCATTGCTTAGCGAAATTTTCTGAATTGGTTTCCATTGCGAGAGATTTATTAATTTTTTTATTTTGGGCCAATCTTCTCGGAAACTATGACAAGTATTTTTATTCAAACAAACTTTAGTTGCTTGGATACCGTCAAGTATGCTTCTTGATCGGTTGCCAGATTTTAAAGAGAAACGTCAAATTTGACAATTTAGTAAAAGTAGACAAACTAACCTAAAAGGCCTATACAGGGTGTTCTAAAAGGTTTAATAATCGAAACAATAGATGTATAACTTTTTTACTTTCGATGGTCCAATGATTTTGGTTTAGATAACACTTTGATAGTTTTATAAACTTTTTTTTCCTAACATTGAGTACTCCAGCTTAGTTTAACTAATTTTGGGCCGCTGATTTCAAAAATTTCATTCGTTATTCTCTAGAAAATCTAGGATTTAAAATAATTTTGTAATAAAATGTGTGCTCAATCACCACAAAATGTAAGTTTTTTGTTAGTATTTTTATAATTTATTAAATTATTTTGGCTTAAATTTATCTTGAATGTACTGAAGTAATTGGTATACGGCAAATATGTCATGTTTATCTTAACAATATGACATTTTAAATACTAAAACTAAAATTTTAATGTATTTTATATAAAAAGACAACCATTATTTGACATGTTTTGTCTTTTATTTTAATTAATGAATTGAAAGGGCAACAAAGTAAACAAGTTTCGGTATTTTTCTCCAGCACAAAAATTGCTTAAACTTTTTTGTGGTCCATCAGACAAGCTAAAAAACGTAAATTTTTAAAGCTCTGTAAAAAATCAAATAATGAAATGAAAATAGAAATTCGGCTTAATAAGATTTTTTCGTCCAAATTTAATGCTTTGTAAGATTTGGTCATGGATTTTAGAAAAAATTTCTCCCTTGGTTGCATGAATAAATAAGGTAAAAAAGTCAGTTTTCTGTGCTATTTAAGCGGTAAAACTTCAGATTCGATGAAGGACCTCTTAAAATTGAAATTATGAGCTCCGCTTTTAACAGGATATTTTTTCGGACATATTCTACGATATTTTGGGTGGAGAGCAAGAAAAAAAAATATCGAGTTTTTTTGGCACACCCTATTCTGCACTAATGCAAGAATTTTAAGAAATCATACATTTTGATTGTATGTTTTTATTTAAATATATATTTGAAATGAGTTGTTGTATCTTTTGACACCTTAATATTTTTTAAAAATACAATTGTACATAGGTACATAAAATACTGTAAAAAATCTACTTACTGAGATATTACACTTCACGGTGGATAGGTTTCTAAATAGCAAATTAATAAACTTAAACTTGAATTATAAAACAGCAACGCTCTCATCTGCATATATATATATTTATATATACATTCTAACTGACTTTCAGGAATCAGATGCATCTATAATGTCGTAAACAGAAGTTTTTGCTTATTTAAAATGATTAAAGCGCCATCCGTTGCATAAAATTTAAAGCCAAAACAGATTCACGGAGGATAGAATCAATTTTTGTAACACCCACATAAATGGTTATAAAAATTATTTCTTATAATTTTTAATAATATTTTATATTTGATTCGATTGCTTTGGATGTGTTTAATTTACTTAGTGAACTGATATTTTAGTATGCTTTTACTACCTCAGATATTTGAAAACATATAGGTTAACCTGGAAAAGTAACAGTCACGGAGGATAGGTTTTAGACTTTTAAAACATTGTAAAAAATAATTAATTGCGGTTAAAAATCTGGAACCTGAGCTGTAATATCTACTTAATTATGAAAGATCAAAACACAATAAAAGTGTAGGTCAAACTCATTTAATTTTATTAAATTACCCATCTGCCTTAAATTTTATTTGTTAATTTAATAAACAAGCATTAAGTAACGCGTTTTAAATGGGGGACCTTATATTACATAAAAAATGAAAGCCAACAAATTATCTTTTATCTTTCTATATTTTACACTTACACATACAAAGATATTAATTACGTATTCACAATAATTTCATTGCGTAACAAGAAGAATGGGTAAGTAAGTAAATAAAAAAAATACTGGCACTAGCATAATTTTTAAACGGTACAGGAGAGTAGAAAGGTAATAACATTAAAGAACTGACTAAGTGAAAGTACACTTATAACATATAAATTTGTTTTATTAGGTAGGAAATAAATTAGGATTTATTATGTAACAGCCCAAGGCAATTTTGGAGGAATAAAAAGGAGTTTAAAACATGCAGTTTTTTTAATAAATAACAATGGGCTTCAACACATATTTTTTCGCACTTAAATAAACACGGTGCTGTTCTGAGAGGTGATTTTTGGACTTTCTGTGAAACCAAATTTTTTTTTATATTCTTTTTAATAAGGTCATAACTAAAATTTTAAGAGCAAAATAAAAAAAATTTGACGGTTTGAATTGTTTTCATTGGCTGTTTATTAAAATATTATGCACTCTTTCAATTATCCAATTAAAACTAGCGATTTAATTTAAATATTTAATATTTGCATAACTAAAAAAAAGGTTTTTACAATTTTTTTTATATATTTTATTGTTTTGTTGCAATAAACGTTCAAACTTTTAATCTAACCTTTGACGTATACATTTATGTTCCCTTAATTAATATATCCTTAAAGGTTGCCATGAAACTTAGATCTATTAAAAATTTATTTGATGTTTGAATTGTCATTTTCAGTATACGTATTCTTTAGTTTTTTTAAAGTGTTTTTATAAACAAAAACGAAAAATTGTAGTAAAAGTTACGAAGAAATTCATGAAATTTAACTAAGGACCGGTTTATTCATCTTTAGTAAAGTTTATCGGGCCGATAACTTTCATGTCTTGGCAATATCTAGAAATTATTCGTCAAATAAATCAAAAATGAATAAATCGGCCCTAAATAAAATGTGGCACCCTTAGAATTATTGTTTAATAAATGTATACTATACATTTAAACTTAAATTAAAACTTTAAACGTGTATTACAACAAAACAGTAAAAGATATAAAAAATGTATAGACCTTTTTTTAGGAAATTAACTAATCTTTAATCTGATTTAAAAAGTTATGATAATATTTAAATAAAATCGCAAGTTTTAATTGGAGAATTGAAAGTGTGCATACATATTTTTAATAAACATCCAATTAAAACAAAATTAACCGTCAAATTTTTTTTATTTTGCTCTTAAAATTTTAGTTATGACCTAATTAACAAGAATATAAAAAAAAATAGGTTTCACAGAAAGTCCAAAAATCACCTCTCAGAACAGCACCGTGTAAATTATTAAAATAAAAAAGTATACGTTCAAAAAGCCCACCAGAGTAAATCCTGCATTAACTTATCTATAACAATATACTCTAGTTCCTGGGTCTGTTGTTTTTCACCGGAACTGGGATAGCACCTGGTGGCAAGTTAGGGAAGTTCTCCCCTCCTTGTTGCTGTCTGTTCTTGGGGTTATTCTGAGGTATGTTAGTCTCATCTTCATCTTCTAATGGTGGTGGGATGGTGCTAGGTACATCGCAGTCTTCAGTTGGTGGTACCACACAACGAAGAGACCTTCTATCGAAAACCAACATGGCCGGGCATCTTTGCAGCCTTGGGTACCCTCCTTGACATTGCCAGTACCTGTTGCATGATTTTCCTAGTGGTACATTACCATTGGCGTCTTCGTTACAGAGAGCTAAAAAGATTAAAGTAATACACACACTGTTCAAAATTTTATGACCATTTTAACACCAAATTAACACCATACATGGTCTATATCGATACAAACCAAAATGGTGTTAAATATGGTTCGTTGTTCCAGTGTAAATTCAAATACTAAACTAGAGTAAATTTAACTTTCACACATTATTAAAATAAATTTTACCTGGTGTAAATTGAACTCCTTTTCAGTGTTAAATATTATGTGATTTTGGTCAAATTAAATCATACTTCACAGAAAAAAAGGATATTACCAGTGGTATTATTCCAGAAAATTGAACCTTCAACTCGCTAGAGATAATTTTTTAGTGCGTTCCACCAACCTAAAATACTTCAAGTATTGACAGCTGTTTCCACCTATTTAAGGTCTCTTTAGTATCGAACAACTTGTAGTGTCACACCAAAGCAAAGGACTACCTGAGCTTATATACTCTTCATGTAAGTCAACAGAGGCGAGATTTAAGAACATGACGTGATCCACACCGCCTTTGCCACGATCGGTACATACTATGCAACCAGGAATGCACGGCAAATTGTTTTAATCGTTTTAACAGAGTGCTTTAGGTTTAAGTAACTCTTATTTTACAAACCACATATTTAGTAAACTGAACCATACAGCGGGTTGGTTTCACTAAAGATTTCTGGGTTAATTTAACGAATTAAAAAAATAAAATAACTATCTGGTTTAGTACCGTCAAACTAATCTTTGTTTTTATTAACCTTTCCACAGTTGATTTAAATAAATACTTATAGGTCAACTAAATTAATATAGTTAAATGAACTATTTCTTTTTTTCTGTGTAGGTGCACTTCTCAAATATTTTTAGATAAACACCGTTTTGGTGTTTGCTGTATATAACATTTTCATCCATAATTCATGGTGTTTATATTAACACCACTTGGTATTAAATTTTGACATCATTTTAAGATTACTCTTTACACCACAGATACTTTAAACAGTGTACTTATAGTAATTTTAATTAATTAATTAATTTTAATTTTGCAAAATTTCTATAAATATTCCATTTAATTTTACCAAGATAATTAATAAAATTACTAACCAAAATTTGTTATTTAAATTACAATAAGTGTTTGGAAATATACATATCATCATTTATTGTTTACAACTTCTGTTTGCAATACAAAATTATAATACAATCTGAGTAATCTTCCAAGACATGTTGGGAAATCTACTAAGATCAGTTGTAATTTTACAATCTATATGTATAAATCCTACACGCATTGTAATTTCACTAAACAGTTTAAGAGTTTCTAATAAAAAACATCTCAGATTTACAAACGTTGTTTGTAACTTGATTTGCTGTAATGTTATGTAAAATGCTTAGTATGTACCAATTGCGGCAATCACGTGATGTTCTTACATCTCGCCTCGGTTGACTTATAGGTGGACAGTATATAAGCTCAGGTGTCTTTCGTTTTTGGTGTGTTCCAAAACACCAAATTGCCCGACACTGATAAGACCTAACGTAGGTCTGTCTAGCTGTCTGTCGGTATTTGATGTTGGTGGAACGCACTTAAAACAAAAACTCTGGCGAGGTGAAGGTTCAATTTTTTTAAATCTTTACAGTAATGGGTCAAGAAAGTTTCTTGAAGAAACTAAGAAAATTGTAGTGTTTTTTTCGTAGTATAATTACAATACCATAAATTTGTTGTACAAAATAACAATATTGTAGTTTTCTTAAACTGAGTTGAAATGAATTGTATAGTATAATCATAATACACCATTTTAAAATTACTAAACATATTTGTCCTTTCTTTAAGTTTTCTCGAGGAGGTTTAAGCTACTATAACTTAAAAACTAATAAACCAAGACTTTTAACATTTAAAATAAACAAAAAATAATGTCTTTAAAACAACATATCCAAAATTTAACCCTCTAGCATTTCTGCTTTTTAAGATATGACTTTTTTATCCTAAGGTGTTTATATCAACTGTAAAAATTCTTATGTATACTTTAGGGTACTATATCTGAAAAAGTGTTGGACCTAAACCGTTGAAATTTAAAGTCAATATAAAATATTGTTATTTAAACAACATATCCAAAATTTGGGCATTTAAAATAAATACTTTCTAAGATATGGCTATTTTTCACTTACGATGTTTTTGACATCCGTCGACGTTTTCGGGCCAATCGCATGAGTGGGTGCGTTCGTTGTATAAAAGGCCTCCAATGCAGAGTTGCTCAGTGGCGGTACCGTTCCAACATGTCCAGTATCTTGTGCAGGATGTTTCGTGTCCGAAGATTCCGTACAGCCAGTCGCAGTGTTCTGTGGAGATTGGAGCATCTGGAAATAAAGGATTTAGTTTTAAAGTTTCATGAGTTCCAGAAGTTTGGTGTACAATATTTTACATTTATTGGGGTTTATTTGGACACATACATTCAAGACCTTCTCTACAAAAGGGCGTAAAAAAGTGCTTGTGTGAAAGCTATTACAAAAAAATATAATCATACGTGCACTAACTATAACGTATATACAGCCCGTTCAGAGTAAAACCGAATATAGGGAAACGTTTTGGGCGTGGCCTCGCCTCCCTCCATTGCAACGCGCACTAACTATAACGTATATACATCCCGTTCAGAGTAAAACCGAATATAGGGAAACGTTTTGGGCGTGGCCTCGCCTCCCTCCGTTGCAACGCGCGTCACAGTTGCTTGTGTGATAAACGACATGACGAAAGGTCGAGCAGGTAAGACGACCTCATTAGCGATGCAGGCTATTTGCTTAGCTACTGTGTCGCGTGTTGGAGGGAGGCGAAGCCACGCCCTATACGTTTCGCTATATTCGGTTTTACTCTGAACAGGCTGTATACGTGTGTTAAGTTTTAAACGGCTTTAAATTTTGAGTAAGTAATTAAGGTTATGTTTTCAAGTTTTTTAATAAATAATTCAATTACACTATGATAGTTCGATTTACTATTTTATAAATGATATTAGCACTTTTCTGCAGAGAAGTGCTTTATTAAATATCAAAACTAAAATTTTAATGTTTTTTTGGTAAAAAGTATAATTTTTTGACATTTTTGTGTCGTTTTTTTAATTACTAATTAAATTGAAAAGGCAACAAAGTAAATGGGTTTTGGTATAAGCATTACTCTTCGACTATTATTTGATTTTTTTTATTCACATCATGCCTAAAGTACCCAAAAATTTAATCTCCAATCTTATTCATTAGGTCTTATCAAAATTTAATATCGAATTGAAGTATAAAGGCGCCTTTATCTACTTTATCGTTCAAGCACATTAAAATGTAAAGAAATTTTAAGAACCAAAAATGAAAAAAAAAATAGGAAATGTAAGACGTAATGGAAGTGGCAGAGAAAGAAAAAGGAGACGAACATTTATGTCGTCGTTGTAAATTTGTTTTGTTTTTGTTGCGGTACCTTTACGCCCAAGAAAAACCAACGCAATATTTCAATACAAAATTTTATGAGATATACCTACTACTTTAATTTTGCAGGAATGGATAAACGACCTTTAATGAAAGATCAAGCATCAAAAAATGCTCTCGCAGTGTTAAAGGTGTCATAGAAAATGTTCTTGGTTTATATCGGGCCAAAAATTGGCGCCAATTCATTGAAAAAATGCTCTCCGTTTTGCAAAGAATTAGCGTTAATATGTCATTTAAAACACATTTTTTTTTCATCCTGATAAATTTGCAGAACTGATGAACATGGAGAACGATTTCGCCAAGTAACTGCAAATCTAGAGCATTGGTAGATATCTATGGGTATAGCGGAAAGAAGTTGGATTCATTGCTAGGAGACATTTGCTGGAATTTGCAGCAAAAGATGTACGACGATGATGAGGATTAAGCACAATAATAATACCTACTATAATCCAATTCGATATTTGATACGATTTAATAAATTTAAGTTAGAAAAAAGCAAAATTATGCATTGCATTAAATTTTGAGAGCTTAATTTGGATAAAAATGCTGAAACTTTATTGTTATTGCTAAGATAAATATGATCTACTCGTATTTGCCGTATAACAATTACTTTAGTACATTCAAGATAAATTTAAGCCGAAATAGGAGTACTTGATGTTAGGGAAAAAAAGTTTGTAAAACTATCATATGTAGGTAGTGTTACTAATCATTTTTGGACACCCGGTATATTTCTAATTTTACTTACTCGCTTGTTGTTTTGTTTCACAATAGTTCGACCTCCATGGGTAGTCGCAACCCTCGGTAACTCCCCTATTTTTACCGGCGTAAACCAACCCATTGGGACAGTCGTACAATTCAGGTTGATCGTTAACGCACTCCCAATACCTGTCGCAGTAGGTTTCGTCTCCTACCAGTCTCGATTTCAGTTTGCAGGGGTCATCTTGGTTTCCTTTGAGTTGTTGGGCATGGGCACAGCCTAAAATAAAAAAATATATTGGTTCAATGATTGGTTGCAAAAGAAAACTAAAGTTAAAGGATTCTGCGTTTTCGATTGAAACTTTTTTACATTATTTCTACATCTAAATAAATGCAGTTCTTTTTTCAAAAAAAAAAATCTCGTCCATTGAAAACTATGTTTTTATTTTTCTTTTTTTCTTCGCTGTGTTAAAAATGAAGAAATTTTTTTAACAACTTTTTTATTTCAAAACGTATCGATTTGAAATTTGGACAAAATGTAGATCTTAATATACAGGGTATTTCACTTACTTAATTTTAAACAATGACAGAGTTGGTGGTAAAAATGGATACTGTCATATTAAACCACATGTAGAATATCACAGGTTTTTTGAAAATATTAGAAATTGTTAAATGTCTCTGAAATTTTAACTTTAGGAAATCGAAAGATTGTTTAATGTTCTATTTGATTATGTTAAAACATACAGGGTTTTACATTTATAATAGAAACGTTATTATTGTTTGAAATTTGCCTAATTTCAAGTGGTTTTTCTGAAGGTATTTGTTGAAAACCTTTAAAAAATTAAATTATTTAAACAATGTTTTAATATTCCAAAAATTCCAACCCCATGTTAGCAAACACAATAACGAAAAAATTGGAGACTATTTTTGATTAACGTGCATTTAACAAAATTTTAACGAAAAAAAATTTAAATCCATATCGTTTGCGTTTCTCCAGAAACATTATATTAAATATAAAACAATGCAAAATAACTAATTACAAAAAATCGAAAAACAACTGAATAAAAAATATAGATATATCTAAATAGCCGATTGCAACATAAAAAATAAAGTCTTTATTCTAATTTATTTATTGGGAAAATATTACTTTCCTCAGTTTGGAATTAAAATTGAAGCTTGCTTATCAGGTAAAAAATAAATTGAAGCTTGGTTGTGGAGCAAAAAATAAAATTAAAGTAGGTTATAATTTCTAACTTGCTGACACTGTCTATAATTATTATTTAGTTTACTCATTTTAATAAATTAATGTTTTTAGTTTATAGTATAATTATAAATTGAAACACATTTTGCAACTTATAAACTGAACTGTCAAATTATATTTCATGCTTCCAATGGTAGGTTACCATGGAGAAAACTCTATGATGCCTACTATGATCAAAATTAGTAAACTTGAACAAATTTAAAATTTATAAATAAAACTAATTTTAGCTCCATCTATGGCGATTTTTTTAAATAAATGTGTAAGAATTGTATGTTATATATAATATATTTTATGTTATATATATAATACATTATCTTATAAAACTAGATAAAAGAATATATACTTTGTAAAACACGTTAGTATTATGCTCTTTGAAGGCCTAACTTAAAAATGATGTCTCTCGTAGAAACATAATTTGCATGTAGAAGTATATATCAAATAATAGTTAATTATCAGTACTTTACCGTGATATACTCAAAATTATAAAACAACGTTGCTTCTTCGATTTTTTAACCCTTAAAAAATGGTAAAATTTTAAATTAAATTGTCCCCAGCGCCACCTCTATGTTAAAATCTAAAAAAATATTACGTGGATTTATTGCCACTAATAAGGTCTACATTTTATCTTAATTTCAAATCGATACGTTTTTAAATAAAAATGTTATTACAAAATATCGAAATTTATTTATTTTTAACACAGTAGAGTGACTTAAGGCCTGAAATCCACAGCGGTCAATGGATGAATTTTTTTAAATGTACCATTTAGATGTAGAAACAAGGTTAAAAAAATATATTCAATTCTGGCATCACTTGCAAACAAACGTCCAAAATTTGTTCGATTTTTACGCGAAACCATAGTTAAGCGTTCTCTAAATATTTCGAATTATTTAAATATGGGTCAGAGGTTTGCAATTTATTCAATGCAAAGTGTCCAGCGAGATCTCCAGATCTCAACAGCCCACAAAATTTAGAAGACTTCAAAATAAAAATGTGCGAAATTAAAAAGAAAAAGATTTTTTTGGGGAAAAAGACACATTTTTAAATAAATTTGTTCCATATTTTTGCCGGTCATTGTACGCATGTGGCAAAAAATTTTGTAGGAGAGTATTAAAAAATATCAATACAATGTAAGTAACATGAAACAATTTGCATTTTCTAGGCAATAGCGCTCCACCTAATATTGCACAAGAACTTTTACTTTCAACTTTGACTTTTACTCGGACAGTAAGGAATTGAAATTTTTTATTAAAACGGCCAAATTATTTTAATTCTTTATGTAAGTAGGCAATTTAAAGACTTAATTAACCTAAAGAAATTGTTATATAATTTAATTATACTTTATGATTAAGGTTTTTTTGAGGTCGTTTATAAATCAGGAGTTAAATACATTATAGTTTTTACATTTCAAGAAATTGTAGGTATTTTATTACTATGGTAATATCTAAAGAATTTTATTGTGACTATTATTAGTCATGCTTACGTTAAGTAACACAATGCATAATAATGAAGTTTATATACTTAACATACTTGTTGAATATTAATTGGTTTTAACAATATATGGGTGATTCTACAAAAGTTGGAAAACTTGATGTCATCAGTCAATAATATTTTTTGTAAATATTTTAGTATATTACAAAAGATCCAGTTTTTTTAACTTGTCCACCCAATTTTAATGTATTTTTTCAAAAGCACGTTTGTAGAAAAACATAATAAATATTCAAAACATCAGTACCTTGGCGTGTCACAACTCCTGAATCAAATATTTGAGTGATTTTATTTTAAAATATATTCAATTTATCTTAAATTTTTCAATTTCACTACAAACTATAAAACATTAAATAATGTATTTTTCATATTTTATCATAGATTCGAATAATAGCAATTTTTAAATAATTGATAATCTTCGTACTCACTTTTACCCGTCAGTTCTATGTCCAATGTTAAAATTCAAAATTCTTGCGAAATATTGAAGTTTAAACGTCAAGTCCTCGTTTTAACTCAAGTGTTGGTAAAAAATTACCTACAGAGCCCGCCCTTTGTACGACAGTCATCTTGAAAACGATGCAAGCGGCGAAGTTGTGGTGAATGCACGTATAGTTTCAGTCAAAATTTCAGTACTGTGGTGAGTAGTTATTTTCTTACGTATATATATTTCATTGTAATTTATATAAGACTATATGTTGATAAGTAGCATCCACTAATAAAAAATATCAGTAAAATACTTAATTTCGAATTGTAATATTAAATTTGTATACAATTCGTCAGTTCCATGTTCGATGTTTCAGTTATCTTTTTTTCGAAAACTTCAATTTAAATTCTGCTTGCGCAAAACTTGTTTATTTAATGTATAAACTCATATAAATTTGGTGTGGGTCCCATATCTAATAATTGAGATATCGGTATACCAAAAATCCACCAGCCGCCACTGATGGGTGGTATTATTTGATTTTAAGATATTTAATGTATAATATGCTCAAAGTTGCAATAAATCTTATATTTTCCAATAAATTATGTATTTAATTAGTACCCTGCTATACTTGTCACTTCCCTTGCATTCAAATTTAGAAAACACAGATATTTCAGAAACTGTTTGAAAAAGTGACTGGCCCGGTCTGGAACAATATATTTATTATATTATCTATGTTCTCTTAACAAAATACTGTTTAATTTCCTCCGAAAACTATATAAACAAAATGAGGTCAAAATTTGGCCAACTTTTGTAGAATCACCCATATGTAAGATTCAAAATAGTATATTATATATCAAGTTTGATAAACGCCATTTTGGTCAAGAGTTTTATATAGCGAAGCTTGCTAACGAATTTTTAATAAAAAAAAATCTGTCTGTTTTAACCTAACTTTTTTCCAATTTATTATTTTTTATCAAGTCTTTGTTTATATCCAAAATTTGTTAACTATAATCTTTTTGGTGGAGAGTATTTCCTACATTTCTTCAACTATGTCAATGTTAAATCTTTTCCTGACTATTTATTATAGTAATAATTTTCTATCACGCAAAATGGTAAAAATAATTAATTAATAAGTAAAATTAGCTATTATTTTGCTTTAATTATTTATAATTATAAATTAGGATGTGGGACAATGCAAGTGGTTAATTGTAGTAATTTTCTATTGTTATTATGTCCTGGATTTTTTATATATATTTATTAAATAATATAGGTACCTTATAAAACGTTAAAATTTGTGTTAAATTTAAAATGTATTTTTTCTACGCCCATTATCGTACATGTTTCCATGATTTAGTTTTAGTTGTCAAATATCATACAATCGTTACAATTAAGTGCCCTTAATACAAAAAATATTAAATACACTCACAGGCAAAATAATCGATCCATGCAAATTTTCGATGAATTTCAATCGCAAATAACTTTTTTATTTGATGTCGGATTTAAACGAATATTAAAGAATATTGTAGATGGACAATCGCTCACATTATAAAAAAATACTAAAAAATTAGACGTACGTATATACAGGTTTAAACAAAAAGAAGTTTTTTATTTTAGTTTAAGACACTCTGTAGAGTGGTTAAACAGTCTATTGTTCCAAATTAAGTTTTAATTATGAAGTCACATCCCTTATTAACAGTTTTGTTTTAGGTTCTTCACCTCGATGTATTTATTTTTGTGGAAAAAATGGATTTTTTAAAAAAACATCGCAATTTCCAATATTTTTTCTGTACAAAGAACTAAGGTTGCTATGGTCCATTCATAGGCTATGGAGGATGACAGTGACAGTTTTGTTGAATCATCCCATACTTGGACATGTCATATACGGCTTTCAAAAGCTATCAAATTGTTTTTTGCAACTTTTAAGGTGTCTTCTTACTTTTAAAAATGGATATGTCTCCGACTGATATTGCCAGAGCCATTGATTTAATTTAGGATGGACGGTCACAGTATAACGTGGCAAGTGTTTTAAACGTCACAAGAAGTAAAGTACAAAGGAAACATATATATTTTTAAAAGTAAGAAGACACCTCAAAATTAACACATTAATTAA